TATGTTTTATTAAATAAAAATTTTTTTTGCTCACTCTACCTATTTGGTTTGAATTGACAGCTATGACATCACAATATGGCGCCCAGTAGGTCCTGTTCTTAGTTGAATCGCATTATACATATGTTTCCTAAGATGAAGGTACAAACGATGCCGAATGTGTCGTCAAAGTGTGGATATGGTAGTTATGTTTATATATTTTCCTTTTGAAGCTCTATCACCCTCGGAATGCACTTTCATTCACATACACTCTTCTACGCCATATATAAAGTGTGGTGCCTATGTATGTGCTGAGGAAAGTTCAAATTGAGCCCGAGGATCCCACTAAATACTAGCTGTAACAAAAAAGCAAACGTGAGCAACACTCGGTTGGAACGAAGTTAAAAATCTTAGATTAAAACAAAAAGAGTAGATATGGTACGCTCATACTTGCATCAAACAAAAACTGATCCCACGGCAGCGCGAACGGGACGGCGAGATCCGCGTCACTGCATTACCGACCCGAACGAAACAGCACGTTAAGTTTCAACGGCAGCGCGAACGAGACGGCGAGATCCGCGTCACTGCACTACCGACCAATCGCGCGACCAGTACTCGACGTCACTACCGAATAAGATTCAGAACAAACAGCAATTTTTATGAAACAATATATTTTATAGTACTTACGAATGAAAAGTGATGCCGTGGGTTTTATTTTTAGTTCTTGAGCAATTTGAGCACTTTTTAAAAACACACTTAGGCATTGTTTTATCATATGAACACAAAATAAATATTAGCAATATTTCTTTTTGGCGTTCACATGTACGTCGTTTGCATGTCAAGTTGTGACTAAAGCGATTAGGATCGTGGACCACAACTTATGCGGATCACTTTTGTGAGGCTAGTGCCGTATCTACCCTTTTTGTTTTAATCTAAGTTAAAAATAAATAAAAAAACTAGGTACATAACTGCACATCATTTTGTTACTTTTCACGTCTCACTTGTAATATCAGCGGGGAGTTATGTATTAATATCTCGCTGCAAGAGCTAATTTGTTTTATCCTAATTTTTCTTATCTGTATGATCTTTTAACAAGTTTTTTGAGATGGCTAAGATTGCCCCTTTTTTGTAGTCAATTTTTTTTTTCATGTACTTTACTGCAATTACTGTAACTTTTACCCAATGATATGCAACACTTCCATTTTATACTCGGTGAAACAATAGTGGGCCTCCACTGGACGCCGATAGCCACCCAGAGATATAATTTTAATAATGACTGCCTGTGAGCAATTGTCCATATAAGAGGAGAACCACCTACCTCAGTAGGTCGCCACTGTCGCCACCAACGCCAATCATTTTCAAGTTATACAAAAGTAAATTGACTCTGATCGAAAACCTTACTGTAGTTATAATTTTTATTATTTTAAAGCATGTAACTGCTTGATGTTTAAATCTAAAGAAAATATAACTAGAAAAAATTACACGCGGACCAGGCAGCAGACGGGACTCGAACCCGCACCCTTCGCAATCCGGGCGAATGCACTGACCAATTATGCTACCGCGGCCCTCACGGACCGCGTCGAAATTCTTCTAGCCATTCTTTAGCTGCAAGGCAGCGCCATCTCTTCGCATTATAGGTAACCCACTATGTCAAATGAATACTTTTACAAGTATTAAATATTTGAAAGAAGAAATAGCATTTATAGTTATAATTTTTATTATTTTAAAGCATACTGCTTGATGTTTCATCCATCCATCAGCCTTTCTCCGTCCACTGCTGGACATAGGCCTCCCCCATAGAACGCCACAATGCGCGGTCTTGCGCTATCCGCATCCAGCGGCTCCCAGCACATTTGACGATGTCGTCAGTCCACCGTGTTGGGGGCCGCCCCACGCTGCGTCGTCCGGTACGTGGTCGCCACTCGAGGATCTTTCTTACCTAACGGTTGTCAGATCCTCGAGCGATGTGGCCTGCCCATTGCCACTTCAGCGTGCTAACTCTTCGGGCTATGTCGTACACACCGGTCCTTCTACGGATCTCCGTATTTCGGATCTTATCACGTAGGGAAACACCGAGCATAGCCATCTCCATAGCACGCTGCGCTACTTTGAGTTTTGTTATGAGGCCGACATTCAGAGACCACGTCTCAGTCCCATAAGCTTGATGCTTGATGTTTAAATGTAAAGAAAATATAACTAAAAAAACCTGTAGTCTGCATAGATAACATCTACCTGACCGGCCACTATCTATGGCTGCAGAAATGGCTTCATTAAGTAATATTAGATCGGACACAACAGAACGACCTCTGAGAAAACCGTGCTGCGCAGGACTAGATGAATGCTTCAAAGCTGCTTATAAATATTTTTTTCAACAATCTTCGATACAATACAGAGCTTTGGAATTAGCCGATAATTAATAATGTCGGTACTAGACCCTTTCTTATGAACCGGCGATGCAAAAGCACGTTTTTAATAATTGGCACAGTGTTCTCCGCTAAAGATCCCTTTAAAAAGAATAGAGTTGCTATGGTTCACGCTGAGTTAATAAGAGAGAGAACAGCCATCGGTAGACTTTGATTTGTCGAGTTTCAAAAGGAGTTTAGTAACTTCGTCAATGATAATGTCAATTTTATTAATATCGGCAGTAGTAGGGACGTTCAAAAATTCCTCAGAGAAGCTGAATTGTTTAAATAAAAAATGTGTGCGTGTACTAGTGTACACACGTAAGAAGTGAAACTTCTTTATGGCCTTATTTTTCGAAAAATGATCTACATGCAACTTTCCAGAAATTGGTTAAATAAAGTTAAATTAGACTTACTTACAGTATAGCTGAGCGAGTATCGCTGAGCGAGTATCCCTGAGCGAGTATCGCTGAGCGAGTATCGCTGAGCGAGTATCGCTGAGCGAGTACCGCTGAGCGAGTATCGCTGAGCGAGTATCGCTATGCGAGTTTGGCTGAGCGAGTATCGCTATGCGAGTTTGGCTGAGCGAGTCTTATCTTTAATAACTATTGTCACTCAGCTACAAACGAGTAGAGAGAGTTCTCGCCGGCGACAGTGTGATCATTCAGCTATCAACTTTTAATATAAAAAAAGATGGCGCGTAACGGAAAAATGTGACGCGTAACCGAAAAATGTGACGGTAAATTTTTTTCCAACGCCGATAAAGAAGTTTCACTTCAAAAATTGTAGTGAAAGTATGTAGAAAAGGCATTGCAGATCGCAAATATGTTTCGATTTCCTACAGGATATTGTAGAATGCGCTGCGCTGCGCTCCGACGTGCACCGGTAAGTGAGAATCGTATATTACTATTAAATACAAATATAGACAACTAAATTAGTTTATACCTAATAAATTAAATATTGAAACGTGTGGTTTGGGCGATAAATGATAAATCTGACTGCGATTATGAACACCTTTAATTAGGTTTACATGCCTTATATACTAGGGAGAGATGAGTGTGTGCGTTACATACTGTATACACACTACAAAGTTATTCCTTACTAGTGGCCCGCCCGCGCTTCGCTTCGGTGTAGAGCTGTAGTGTAGACTATAGTTTTTGTTCTCAGGCTTGTATTATACACAATGACATTCTTCTAATACCTAATTACAATAGGCACGCGCCACCAGGTGCCCCGCCCGGTAGCGTCGGAACCGCTATGTCCCTGCATTTTAAATCTGTAATATCTTCGAAAATATTCATTTAAATTACATGCGTTAAATAGCCAAATTGGTCTATATTAAATGCACAATGTGTTTAAGGTACTGAATTGGATAAGGAAGAATGTTATATTGCTGAAAATCGCTTCGTAAATAATCTATTATTTCTCGTAAAAAGTATAGGATATAAAATGGTTATTGTGGGTTATCCCTAAGAGATAGACAGATACCATGGCGGACTTTTTTGTAGACATTTTTAAGGTATACAATACTGTAGTACAATATTTTGACTGGTCTCGTAGGGTTCAGCCAGCGTTTGCAATGTAAGCGGAAAAACTGTGTTTATTTACGACCTTACATTAAAAACCTCTAAAATTATCAGTGTTTCCAACCGTTACACAAAAATAATCCTTAAAGCATGATTCAGTATTCACGTGCGACGGCGCGATGGCTTATTTCATGTATAAGTTTGGTGTTTCTATACCGATTTCTATGATTCTTTTTTTATTGAATAGGTAATAATGTTAACTTTTTTAAATTAGGGATGAGTGAGAGTATTATAAACGTAAGAGTAAACAAATATAATCAGAATGCTCCGAACTGCTAAGCTATCAGGAGTTACACGTGTTATTGTGAGTCAACCATAAAAGATAGACATATGCTGTTGCGGGATATTTTTTAGACAATTTTATGTTAAATATTTCCGTCATACATGATTTCTATGTAACTTTAACCATTAAGGCTGCACACGCGACGGAAGCTTAAAAAAAGGAGTAACTTCTCCCGTTTTCCCAGCATTTCCCTTCACTACTCTGCTCCTATTGATTGTAGCGTGATAAAAAGTATACTATAACCTGCCCAGGAGTATGAAGAATAATTGTACCAAGTTTCGTTAAAATCCGTCGAGTAGTTTTTGTTTCTATAAGGACAGACAGACAGACAGACAAAAATTTTACTGATTGCATTTTTGGCATCAGTATCGATCACTAATCACCCCCTGATAGTTATTTTGAAAATATATTTCATGTACAGAATTGACATCTCTACAGATTTATTATAAGTATAGATGATGTGGTACATATTTTATTGATCAGTTTCGATTTGCTTATCGTCATTTCAACCTAATCAGATGGCGATTAACGATAGTAAATTGACCGTAAAAATCGGTCCAGGCGTCATCGTGTAATATTCATGAATATAGAAAATAGATTCCTACGAATTGAGAACTTCTTCCTTTTCAAGTATTTGATGTTCTTCTATATAAATTACAGTGTCCTGGCAATTGTAAGACAGAAAGTGCGGTCCAAGAACTAAGTTTTAAATGCTTTTTTTAAGGTTAAAAATTACTTCTTTAAAGAATAGCATGTACCTAAGCATTCCTGTTACCGTGAAGTATATAATGTCTATGGTATGGTTATTTTAATAATATAAAAACAATTGTATTTTTATCCATAATTTAATATGATTATCTTAAAAACATAATTACATTATAAATGTACAAACACGTGCTCATCGAATGACACCACATCAAAACTGAAATTGAAGCTTCGTCGTTAGGTAATAAGGTTTATATTCAGGTGAGGTCTTCGTTGCCTTCGTCAGTCACTTCAGCAGCCAGGTCTGCGAATTTGGCCACGTAATCCACACTCGATTCCGCCATTAGAGACTGAAGATGGGTATCCACCTAGAGAAATACACATGAAATAAAATAACGTTTTCTTGCTAAGAGACCTTTGATTTTTGCCCAATTTTGTACCTTGGTACATTAATTATCTCAAAAGACAAGAATACATCAAAAGCTCAATAAAAACTGGTGAAAATCTGAATCAAAATATTTTCAAAAAGGGTATCTGCGTAAAAAGGAATGTTTATACCTAGATGCAATTTGGCATTGACTGAAAGCAGGGCTTGAAACCGGTTTTAAAAATATCGGTAAATAAAGGTGAATACCGGTTTTTAGTAAAGGTTTCGTTCGGAGCGCGTCCGTAATGAAAGCGGTACCCAAAACTAATAAACCGGTTTAATCCAGAGCGACACGTATACGCGTCGGCATTCGCTTGCAGTTTATTTTGTTTGAACTAATCAAGTCACAACTTGTTAATGCTCAGAGATTAATGCATTTATTGACATGTTTGCTTGCGTCTAGTGAGTCAAGTTATTCATTGTGTAGTTGTGTATTTATTTCAGCCGTCAGTAAAAGCGAAATGAAACCCTTTAAAACCGCTAAATTGATTCAAAACCTATTTGATTAGTAAATAATTAGAACACTTTATTGTGTAATCAAATACGGCAGCAGTTAGTTATTGTCGGTTTCTGTAGTTTTTATAACTAGTTTATGTATCTATATAAGTAATCATGCAACCAATGTGCGCACACCCAAATCGGCTACAGTATTTACGTACATAGAGGGGACCCTGTTGCCTTTAATACAGGTTATCCTACCACTGGCAACAGAAATCACCTTTAACAATATTTAAGCTCCAATGTTTAAATAAACAAATCGAACAATGAAATAACCGAACGCTCAATAAAAGTCTTTCGAAGGTAGCTCGACAAATTAAATAAAAGTTTAATTCTGACGACGTAGCCTGTAAATTCTACGAAACGTCAATAAATAAATAAAGTTTCGTGCATTAACCCGTAAAAACTAGTTTTATTTAATGGGTGATGTGCGTGAAAACCTAAGAAACAAATATCAATAAACGTTTATTATTATTTGTTGAGTGTTTTTCTTCTCAGCTCTTTGGCTGGTTTTTACTACAATTACAGGCCGAAACCAAGTAAGTGCAGCATGTGTTGTGTTAGATTATGTTGTACTGTTGTGATGAGAACTTATTTCGTTTTCATCTATTTGCAAGAACTTTCTAACAATGCGACATGTATTTAAAATTGCAGCTTTTTGGAGGGTGATTAGGCTTATTGAAAATATATCGATCTATCGATATATCGATATTTTATGCCGATATATTTTGATTCGATATATCGATATTTTATGCCGATATATTTTGATTCGATATATCGATACATCGATACAAAATAACCAATATCGAAATTCGTATCAAAAACGATATTTTTTTAATTATTAGCGGCATATCACGATCTAACTAAATTCGTATCTGGAAAAATCGTAATTGGATCTCAGATTAATGATATTCAACATATCTATGATCTGTGCTTTATTTAGTATTGTCTATGTCATCATTCGAAAATAGAGTCTATTTTTAGGGAGATAATTTTCGTTCCATTATTATTCCGCGTGTCATATTTCGTGAGCTACTTTACGATATTTTTGGGAAAATTGGTCCGATATATCGATGTTTTTTTCGCGATATATCGAAGCCGATATTGATATTTTTTAAAAGATCGATGTATCGATATATCGATATTTTTTTCAACTTTCGACATCCCTAAGTGATATAGAGGGTTTCTTTTAGGTTCATTAATTTAAGGCTATGGAGAAGGTGATTTGGAATGACGCCTGTTGTGGAGAGGACTATAGGGACCACGTAAACTTTTTGTTGACGCCGTATTCTAGTTACTTCATCCCTGAGTTCTGAGTATTTACTATTTTTTTCAGATATTGTCTTCTGAATGTTATGTGTGTTGGGAACAGCTATATCTATTAGGTAAGTAACTTTCTTTATTTTGTCCTGTAAGGTTATATCCGGTCTATTGTAGTGGATTGTTCTGTCGGTGAGAATGGCGCGGTCGTAGTAAAGTTTATGTGTGTCATTTTCTAAGTAAGTTTGTGGTGTGTAAATGTAGTAAGGAGTGTTTGGGTCTTGTATGAGTGTGTATTTGAGTTATTATTATTATTACTAGCAAACCAGTGAACCAAATTTTCACCAAAATCTGATTTAAAAAAAAAAAAAATTATGTATTTAATTAATTGAGAACTTCGGAGATTTTGTGTGGTTTCGTTTGAAATTCGTGATTTCTCGAAAACCGGAAGTGCTACGTTACTCAAATCCGGTTTGTAGTCATATCAGACTATTCTTAACTTATAACTTAAATATTCTCTTTATCTATCTCTTACGGTTTGGCCGCTGAAACAGCACCACAGACAAACGGACGGACGGACTTGTCTAATAGATAAGAGATTATACATATAAACAAGGAGGCTGTAATGTAACGGATGTTACAGTACTCACTGCTAGATCTGGCTGCGGTCTCCCCTCCAGGTGTCCAAGGAAACTGCTCAGAGAGAAATCTTGTACGGAACTCTCGAACCAGCCCTCGGTTTCGCGGAGTAGACGCGAAGGCGACAACGACATGGATTCGGAAGGCAGGAAACCTTTGAAGCAAAAAATATTTTTTTATACTAGAGGCGATTTGACTAAAAAAGGATAACTTTAGATTCGTAAACCTAGCAGTAAATGGTAATGTGGCGGCGACATCTACATGCCCCACATATAACTAACATGGAGGAAATAATCACTCGCCTCCTCAAGAGATGGCGCTACCGGCGCTGCGTTCACAACGTAAGGAAGCCTACATCGCGCAAGTGAAATTCGGCAGCCAACAGTTCATATATACGATGCTCGACCAACATCAGTCGGGCCGCGGCCCCCAAGCTAACATCACTCAGCTCGGAGGAAGATCTTCCCCTTTGGCCTTCCTACAGTAATAATAATAATAACAATAAATTTATTTAGAAAAAATTCCACGCGGACCAGGCAGCAGACGGGACTCGAACCCGCACCCTTCGCAATCTGGGCGAATGCACTGACCAATTATGACCAAGAATGGCTATAAAGATTTCGACGCGGTCCGTGAGGGCCGCGGTAGCATAATTGGTCAGTGCATTCGCCCGGATTGCGAAGGGTGCGGGTCCCGTCTGCTGCCTGGTCCGCGTGGATTTTTTTCTAGTTATATTTTCTTTAGATTTAAACATCAAGCAGTTACATACTTAAAACATAAAAGTTATAAATATATATTAAAGATATTTAACTGCAGCTAGAGTTCAAATCTAAATAAAAATTTTACTAGAAAAAAAATCTCGAGGATCAAGCAGCAGACGGGACTTGAACCCGCACTCTCCGCTATCCGGGCGGATGCATTGAACATATGCTACAGCGACCCTAATGGTCCACGTCAAATTCCCTAGTATTTCTTAGGCTGCAAGGTAGCGCCATCTCTTCGCATTGTAGGTAACCCACAATGTCAAATGAATACCTTTACAAGTATTAAACATTTGAAGGACTTTTTGGCGGGATCGGGAAGCGTCACTTTAGCAGTTTTGTTTTTCTTCTTAAAAATTGTGTTGTGGCGGATGTTAGTGTCTAATAATGGTGGATTATTAACCACTAAGTGTTCGGAAACATGCACAAGTGTTGGCAAGTGAAACAAAATAGCGGAAAGTGTCTTTCGACGTTCCCTCAAGAAGTCCACGGGGAGGTTCCAGTAAATCCCCACACATTTACTGAAACATAGGGAAAGGGGGATTGACATGACTGCCACTTACTTTGACTTGACTAATATTTTGACCACGAGTGCTATGGAATATGTAAACATTTTACACTTGACATTGGCTAAATGCACAAACCGTGCGAAGCCATTAAGAAAAAAAAACATTTGAAAGTAGAAATAGCAATTTATAGTTATACTAGTGGCGCGCCCTCGCTTCGCTTCGGGGTGGAATTGATCAAAATCCTTTCTTAGCGGATGCCTACGTCATAACATCTACCTGCATGCCAAATTTCAGCCCGATCCGTCCAGTGGTTTGGGCTGTGAGTTGATAGATCACTATGTCAGTCAGTCACCTTTGAGTTTTATATATATATATATATATAGATTTTTCTATTTTTAAGCATTTAATTGCTAAATGTTTAAATCTAAAGCAAAGTTTTACTAGAAAAAAAATGCGACTTGCGGGTTCAAGTCCCGTCTGCTGCCTGGTCCGCGTGGATCTCTCTCAATATTGTTTTTTAACGCTTTCATGATAAATTAAAAATTTAAAGTCGAAATCTCTCAATTCAAAATGTATACGTCTCTTTACAATGGATTGGATTTAAAAGCTTTTTTTTTATTTTTTTTTAGATAGGTCCGACAAATGACTCCACCCCACCTGATGTTAAGTGAAGGTGAAGTCCAAACGCGAATATAGTAGGCATGCGTCCGATATATCAAAACGAATCCAAAATCCGATTTCAAACACAAATCGATACCGAACGATTTCTCAACAAGAAAATCCGATTTCAGAAATCTAACCGAACCAAAACGATCTAATACCACCACAAGTATCCAAATGTAAATCGGATTCGAAATTCGTGCTTTCGTTTTCGGAAGTCCGATTTCGTGCTCGGAAGTCCGATTTCGGTTTGCTGTTTACGGAAATCTATTGTTCTTCTCTAAGGCGGGATTATTTATTACTGAAAAAGATGTCGTCTAAAAACATCAAAAGTCGAGCAACTGACATTTTTTTGAACGCTAACCTGAAGTAATTAGGTTTGATTTTGTAAATGGTTTGAAAAATAATAAAAACAAACAGAAAAACAAAAAAAAAATACTAAAAAAATATGTAAAAAGAAATCATTGTATATAAGCCGATTTTTAAATGCGCCGCAAAAGTTTTACTTTTAACCGTAAAGATAACTTTTCTGCTAGTCCTAAGCCACAGAATATATACTCTTGCCTAAGCCTAGATTTAAAGCATAAAGGAAAATCGTGCAAATCTACGAGTATCCATGCTTCGTACAATTAATTGTTTGTGATTGTCGTTAGCTAATAAAACCAAATCATAATACAAACTAGTGAATTGGCTAAGTTCGGCACATCTGAGATCTGATATCTAAAAACGGATTTTGAAATCTGAAATCCGATAAATATTCATTTGCGTTCAAAACCAAAAACGCCCATGTCTAGAAGATAGCTGATACAGCAGTTCTACCTGCCACACTAAGCCAGTTCTACCTGCCACACTAAGCCTATTTAAGCCTAACGCCCATAGTCGCGTTATAAACGGTCGATAATATCGGATGCGTTATTTCGATATTTCATCCTACTACTTCTATTGCGTCGCTTTTATCGCAGCCTGGTAGCCGTACTATTACATAATGTGCTAAAAACAGATATCGCAATAGCGCACCCTATTAGCGGTGGGTCGTTCTCAAATTTTCTGACGGCGAAATGCAACCGCTTTCTCTTAAACGAAAACTACTCCTCGAAACGGTTCTTGTTCGCAACTGGTTTTGGTTGCGGCCGGATGACGCAACGAAACGACACGCGACGGTCGAACGAATGTAACGCAACGAAACTGAACTAAATGAAATCTTGTTCAAGTTCGTTTCGTTGCTGCGAACGAGACAGCGAAATATTGAAATAAATGTAGTTATACGATGATCGACTTTAAATATTCAATAATAAAGATTATCTAATATATAAAATTCTCGTGTCGCGGTGTTTGTGGTTAAACTGCTCCGAAACGGCTTTCCCGATTCTCATGAAATTTTGTGTGCATATTGGGTAGGTCTGAGAATCGGACAGCATCTATTTTTCATCCCCCTAAATGTTAAGGGTAATCCACCCCTAATTTGTTTTTTAATTTTTTTTATGATACATCATACTAAAATACATACAACCCTAAATTTTCTCCCTTCTACCACCAACCCCTATTTTTTTATGGCGGTTCGAAGTTCGCTGGGACAGCTAGTATTATTGCAAAATCAAAGCTTAAGTTATCATAGAACGAAACGGCCTCATATCATTGCGTTCTATTATAGACTATATTTACTTCATCAAACCCCTCGAGTGATGACATGCCGAAAGTCGGCATCTGTCAATAAACCGTCAAGTGATGACATGCCGAAAGTCGGCATCGCGCGACTCTACGTAATCAGTGGCAATTAAAATATTCCTTCTTATTGCTATCACCTACATGCTTATATCAATTTGTAGAGGAAAGAACAGGCTAGCTATCTAGCCATTGATTAAGTCAACTGCCATATGAAATATTTATACTGTTGTCTGTGGAAGTTCGTCGTTCGCCGTTTTTTGTATGAAAAAAAATATGCCGTGTATTCAGACTATTTAAAGTGTTTTTCAGTGGTTTTTTTTTAAAAAAACACCATCTCTGGGCAAGTTAAATACATTAAGTTACTCTATTTTGATGTTTCGTGTGCGGGTTTACGTGTTTTTTTTTTTTATAATTTTTTTGTTACATCCCTCGTAAAAAAAAAACAATAAAAAAAAGGGTTTGTGTCTTATGTTTTCATGGTGATAATTTCGATAATAATTGTAATGTTTTAATTTATAATTATTGAATACATTATCCATGATTAATATTTCGAATACAGAGAATCTCTTGCGTTAGTATTTTTGAAGAAATAAAAAAAAACAAAAGCCGCGCAGTGTAACGGTCGTTCTAAATTCAAATATTCGAACGAAATATTTTTTCATATTATTTTCTTGTATGCGAACTAGTGATTAGTTTTTGTTTATTCTAAAGCAAATTTAATGTACATTTTGAAAAAAGAAACTGTTTATCAAAATTGTAAATACTTTTCGTTTTATCGACATAAAACTGAGATGACTGCTTTGTAGGCGATTTTAAAATGCCTTGTTGTAAGTTCTTAGAACTATAAAAAAACAAAGTACTATTCATGCCACACTTGTTTCTAAAGTGATGTTTACAATCTTAGCTAACCGTAAACCCATAAATCATGGCACTCAGGCCGCCCGTCTGCGCTTATCGCCGAGGCGAAACCCGACGCCTTTTTTTTTGTGACGCGTCTTTGTTTACACAATGAGCACGTGGTTGTCAGAGCTATAGTGTAAAATTAAATTATCAGAGTATGGTATTTTATGATTTTATTTGGTAAGTTATAATAGAATGTGCAAATAACCAAAAAACCTGGACTTAAAAATTTACAAATTTTGAAAATATACCCTATTTTACCCATATAAACGACTTTTTTTAACTTTCACGAGTTTACCGTAACGTAATTAAAATAGATTATAGACATGACGCATTGTATAGACACTGTTTTATAGTAAATTTTATGAAGAATCCAAATATATATAGTTTGTGTGGGGTATTCTTACGAAATAAAAGAGAAATCGGCAAAACAATGCAATCGTTCCCACCCAGCGGGGGGTTGACGTTGACGGATGACGTAATCACTTTGACGTAAGACGGCGCCATGACAACCATCACCTGAGGGGTTTTGGCGTGCAGACAATCCGAGGACTAGTTGTTCGACGAAGACTGTTTTGATCCGAAACGTAAAACGGTTCTATCGTTGCGGAACACAAAACGGTCCTTGAAACCGGTTCGTCTTTAGAACGCTCACACCTACACCCTATATTTTATCGATCGATCATAACGCGCCTTTTGGGGCGGGGTCTAAAAGAGTGTTGTGTCAAATCGTAGATTTGCCAACTTCATTACTGCTCAAGAATTTAATGAAGCCGTCGCATTTACACTATTCCCGTATATCCTGAACCACCTTTGCGAAATAATTTTTTTTAATTTTCGTTGATGAAATAAAAGTTTAAATCTAAAGAAAATATAACTAGAAAAAATTCCACGCGGACCAGGCAGCAGACGGGACTCGAACCCGCACCCTTCGCAATCCGGGCGAATGCACTGACCAATTATGCTACCGCGGCCCTCACGGACCGCGTCGAAATTCCTTCTAGCTATTCTTAAGCCCATTAAACTTAAACATCAAGCAGTTACATGCTTTAAAAATAATAAAAAAAATTAGAAATAAAAGTTGTTTTCATAAAAATCAAAGTGTAAATAAATTGATGATAATAATTTTATTTTACATTAAGCGGAGATTGCTCAATTGGCCCAAACGCACAAAAAATATTGACATACACGGTAATTCTTGGCGTAATTTATAATTTAATTTACAGTCATTAGATTTCAACGGACAGCTTTGTATAATATATTAACTTTAAAAACGACTTTTAATTTAACCAGTTTGGAAAACATACGAATCATTTTTAATGGCTATGGGTGTAGTAACATTCAGCCAAAGACTGATCGAAATTGTTTATAAAACATAAAAACCAATCTATTTTGTAAAGATCGATAAAATAAATCATTTTTACTATTACACTGTGGTATTAATATCCACAACTATATTATCATTTTCACTACGTGCTCAGACAATTATTATATATGGAAGGCGACATCATAAAATCTATTGCCATACATTTTTCGCCCAACACCTCCATAAACACATTATAATCTGTATATATGTTAGACTTTAAGGTATCTATCTATGGGCCTACGTTGCCTGACTATAAATAAATAAATAAAATTATAAGGTGTGATACACTAAAAATGTAAAATATTGTAATATTAAAAACATAACAAAAATAATGAAGCTACTAAATATATGGCTATATAACCTAAATCTCTTAGCTTCCTTTGTTTAACAAGAGTTTAAAAATTCTCTCTAATCTGTGGCTCATTCACAATCTTCACAGTTTCTGTCACAGAGTACTTTATTATAACCGGAAATGCATAGATGACACCTGATTTTAAAAGTTACTCTTATGCATTAACTTTAAAAACAGGCAACTATCTGTTAATCTACATGTTCTATATACCTGAATCTAATCCATAATTCCGGTACTTGGCTTGATTTCTCTAGTTTATTATATAACTTATTTGTTTTTAATTATTTTAATATGTTCAGTGTATATGGTTTATAGAAGTTCTCAGGGGTGTCCGTCTATAATATTCGTTTCTACAGTAATTCATATATAATTTCGAATCTAGGAAACAATTTTTCATGATTATTGGTCTTTAGGCCAAACATGTATGGAAGCTGAGCAATCTCCTTTTGATTGTAATCTTCTACTAAAATAACAACACAGACGAGTGGATAATAGTAGTGCAAAGAATCCTGACGTTACTGACAATAAAAATTGTAATCAGCTACTTACTTAATGAGGGCTATCGCGAATGAATCCGCCGCTAGAGGCGCTTGTGTAGCGTGAAACAATGCCTTCGATGCTTTTATAAAGAACACAAATAGTTCAAAATCAAATGCCCCCGGCAACGCTTTTCATTCGTAAAACTGTGAAATCATTTTTTTCTCTAAAATCACGGTTTGTCGTGAATATTATTTACGTAATCGCCATTTTGTAAGCTAAAAAAGGACAACAATACGCTGCGTTGAAGCGTATAGTTCTGTCTCGCTCGCTCGATTGATGTTTATATACAGACGTGTGTGTGGCGAGAGTTGCTTATGTAATGAGGGCTACCGTTTTCTGCCTCACCAGATGGCGCCACTGTTGAGTGAGGTCCTAAATTGTAACTTTTAAAGTTTATTAATACCCACATGAAATCAAAGGTTACATTTAGATCGTATTTTAACACAAAAGAACCATATCCTAAACATAATAGGCCATGCCACAGTGACGCACAGTTCCGTTTTATTCGGAAAAAATGGGAACATAATCATTTTTCTACGCTCAAATTTTTAATAACTGACATTCATTGCCACATAACGCATATTTGCCATAATTAAGCCGAATTGTTACCAATTATTCACAACATTATTTTAATTAGAAATAAACCCGCGCAGTCAACCAACAAGCAATAACATTTGACATTTCGGAGACCTCACGCTACACTAGCGCCTCTAGCGGCGGATTCATACGCGATAGCCCTCATTGAGTCTGATCATCATTTTATTTGATGCTAGTATGAGCGTACCGTATCTACCCTTTTTGTTTTAATCTAAGCTTTTCAGATATGGCCAAAAACGGCGCGTAAACTTTAAATTATTGCTATTATGTAACCATTCATCACACGACTGAATGAATTAAAAACTGTTAACTTGTTTAATACAGAAAATGATTAAATTATGTACCTGTTTTATGTACCAATGACTACTTAATGAATGATTATAAAAGAAACAAGAAACTTTACCGTTCTAAATTTTGATTACCACAATAATTCAAATGCATAGAATCCTACATTTTTCCAATTCAGAAGATGATTATGTACCTGTGTTATGTACCAATGACTACTTAAATGATTATATAACAGAAATGAAAATATGAATGTATACGTAATCAACCGATTTTAATTTTTCATTTTACCAATTATTTCTCAACGACAAAATATATTATTTAAGTATTCGGTATTCGGCCGAATAATATGTAGATATTCGGTATTCGGCCGAATATAATAAAAGCAGCTGAATAGGCCGAATACCGAATAGTAACCGAATATTCGTTGCAAGTCTACTAAAAATGTTACGGCAAATGCTACTTAATTACTTACTTCCGATATCAGGGTTGGCAGGTTTCTCGCCATTGGAAGTTGGCTGCACTTTGGTTATATCCGGTTTGGTTTCGACCGTCGCATCCGGTTTTTGGTCCTTCACGTCATCTTCTTTCAAGTCTTCCTCTGCAATTGAGTCTGTGTATTTAAAATAAGTCATATTTACTATATATTTATAACATCTTTCTATCTATACTGCATAGTACTAATATTATAAACTAGCGGCAGCCCGCGACTTCCTCCGCGTTAAGTTTACTTTTTTGAGAAACCATCGGAACCCTAAAATGGTTTAGGGATAAAAAATATTCTATATCTCATCCCATGTAATTAACTATATCTGCGCTAAACTTCATCCAAATCCGTTCAGCCGTTTTTGCATGAATGAATAACAAACAAAAAAATTATAATTTTTATTATTTTAAAGCATATAAACTAGAAATACTTGTAAAAGTATTCATTTGACATTGTGGGTTACCTATAAAGCAAAGAGATGGCGCTGCCTTGCAGCTTAAGAATGGCTAGAAGAATTTCGACGGTCCGCGTGGAATTTTTTCTAGTTATATTTTCTTTAGATTTAAACATCAAACAGTTACATGCTTTAAAATAATAAAAATTATAACTATTTTTTTTTATCTAAAGAAAGGTTTTACTAGAAAAAATCCACGCGGATCAGGCAGCGGACGGGACTCGAACCCGCACCCTTCGCAATCCGGGAATGCACTGACCATTATGCTACCACGGCCCTATTAGCCGCGTCGAAATTTTTCCTAGCCTTAAGCTGCAAGGCAGCGCCATCTCTTCGCATTGTAGGTAACCCACAATGTCAAATGAATACTTTTTCAAGTATTAAACATTTGAAAGAAGAAATAGTAATTATAGAAAAAATTCGACGCGGCTAATAGGGCCGTGGTAGCATAATGGTCAGTGCATTCGCCTGGATAGCGAAGGATGCGGGTTCGAGTCCCGTCCGCTGCCTGGTCCGCGTGGATTTTTTTCTATTTTTTTATGTTAAAATCAAAGCATGAAGCCCGCCTAACGATAAGCGACAAAAAGTTTATGTAAAATAAAATTTTATATTTAATAAGAACAATAAAGAAAAATAGCTACCTTGATCTTGTGGTGTGATTGGTATTCTACGGTCACCGTCGTGAAAGAAGAACTGTCCATTCGACTCACTCAACACGTACAAGAATGAAAGACTGTGAACAAATAGACATTTGTTTTAACATACCGAGTAACTAAGGCTATTAAAACTAAGGCTCCCAGCCTTAGAAAGAGTTTTGAAGAGAACCTTGCACTTTACTCCCTTTCATATACTTGTTCATTTTGTTTCTTAGGTTTTCACGCACATCACTCATTAAATAAAACTAGTTTTTACGGGTAATGCACGAAACTTTATTTATTTATTGACGTTTCGCAGCCTTTTCAGGTCTGCATCGTCAGAATAATGATTTTTTATTTTTAGTTTTTTTTGTTTTTTTTTTTATTTTTTTTCATTATTCTGACGATGCAGACCTGAAAAGGCTGCGAAACGTCAATAAATAAATAAAGTTTCGTGCATTAACCCGTAAAAACTAGTTTTATTTGTTCATTTTGTTTTGAAAATTGTTTCTTGCTATTTTGGGACTTATCTTTGCACTTATTGTTAGTAAATTCGTTGATTGTCTATTGTTACATATTTGACATTATGTGATGGAAGTTGACCTTATCACATGTTTGCAAGCTTGATGTTAACTTTCAATTGGACGACGCTGTATGAAATAAAACAAGGAGAAAAAAGCAGCCCTTGCTGAGTTTCTTGCCGGTTCTTCTCAGTACGAGGTTTCCCGCCGTAGATTTGCGAACCGATGGCGTAGCTTTTCGACATTCACAAGTGCTTGTAACAGCCTAGACTGAATAAACGATATTGAATTTTTTTTTTGAATTTTTGAAACTGCGGGTTACTTTGACCTAAAATGTACACTTGTTTTTCAAATAAAACTGTAGCTTCTCTTTCTGATGAATATGTCACGTTTATATCTTGCCATTGTGAACTTTTAAGTATAAGTTACAAAGTTAACATACGAAAATAGGAAAAAATAATATTTAAGGGTTAATATATATTTATGATTTTATTTATTTTTTAAGCATTTAACTGCTAGATGTTTAAATCTAAAGAAAGGTTTACTAGAAAAAAATCCACGCGGACCAGGCAGCGGACGGGACTCGAACCCGCATCCTTCGCTATCCGGGCGAATGCACTGACCATTATGCTACCACGGCCCTATTAGCCGCGTCGAAATTTTCCTAGCCTTAAGCTGCAAGGCAGCGCCATCTCTTCGCATTGTAGGTAACCCACAATGTCAAATGAATACTTTTTCAAGTATTAAACATTTGAAAGAAGAAATAGCAATTATAGCTATGATTTTATTTATTTTTTAAGCAATTAACTGTTAATGTTGTTGTTGTTGTTGTGTTTAATACTTGAAAAAGTATTCATTTGACATTGTGGGTTACCCACAATGCGAAGAGATGGCGCTGCCTTGCAGCTTAAGGCTAGGAAAATTTCGACGCGGCTAATAGGGCCGTGGTAGCATAATGGTCAGTGCATTCACCCGGATAGCGAAGGATGCGGGTTCGAGTCCCGTCCGCTGCCTGGTCCGCGTGGATTTTTTTCTAATATATATTTTTTTAATTTTGGGCCAAAGTTGGCCTTCAAGAGGGTTACTTTAGCTCGTTGAGTTTTCTCTGTGAAAAAAAAAATTATTTTAAACCATGTTGGGGTTAAGTAACCCTTATAACAGATCACCATTAGCATACTGAATACACAAATGGAGGTTTTTGCCCAAAAATAATTAAGTTAAATAAAAAATATAACTTGAAATTTAGAAAAAAATAGTTAACTTACCGAAAGCCACAGTTTTGAGAAAGTTTGCGCATGAACTAACGAACTATTTCAGTTACAAAAAAAAAATGGTTGCCTGTAAAGTCGGTTTTACGGGCGAAGATTTTACGTGACAACGTCTTTTTCTCGGTAGAATATTTATTGATATGAATATAATTAAATTGCACAATAGGAACAAGGAATTGAATGAAAATAAGAATTGCACAAATTTTAACTATAGAAATATATTTTGTTTACTAAAACATTGTACATGTAAACTTAAACTCATCGTAACGTTACCGAGCGTTACACTTTTTCATAAGTGACTCCCAGCCGCAACCTAATTTAAGACGTTGTCACGTCAAAATCCCGCGTTACAATGACAACTTGATACAGGAACGATGTCGGTAAAACAACACCACACTACGCGCCTATATGGCTGTCTGTGATTTTCAACTGGAACGATTACGGTCACCCAAGAGATACTGATGGGGCGGCAAGTTAAATATTTTTTCTGATTTTGGACAAAGTTACCCGCCCGAGCTAAAGTAACCCTCACTTACGGTACCAATGAGGGCTATCGCGTATGAATCCGCCGCTAGAGGCGCTAGTGTAGCGTGAGGTCTCCGAAATGTCAAATGTTATTGCTTGTTGGTTGACTACGCGGGTTTATTTCTAATTAAAATAATGTTGTGAATAATTGGTAACAATTCGGCTTAATTATGGCAAATATGAGTTATGTGGCAATGAATGTCAGTTATTAAAAATTTGAGCTTAGAAAAATGATTATGTTCCCATTTTTTCCGAATAAAACGGAACTGCGCGTCACTGTGGCATGGCCTATTATGTTTAGGATATGGTTCTTTTGTGTTAAAATACGATCTAAATGTAACTTTTGATTTCATGTGCGTATTAATAAACTTTAAAAGTTACAATTTAGGACCTCACTCAACAGTGGCGCCATCTGGTGAGGCAGAAAACGGTAGCCCTCATTAGTCCAGCCCCAAAGGAAGCAGTGCAAGGTTTGTGTTATGGGATACTAGCATAACCGATAGGGTGAAACATCCATGACTGGAGTACAAATGCTCTTATTCATTACACAAATATCTGCCCCCACTGGGATTCGAACCCGGTACCTCTCGAGTCGGCGAAACCATGATGTTTATCCCGGACATACATACAGACAAACAGGCAAAAATTCTAAAAAATATATTTTTGACTTCGGTATGTATTGTAGATCACACCCCAAGTATTCTTTAAAAAAAATATTCAATGTCCAGTTTTGACTGGCCTACAATTTTATTATATGTATAGATAATTATATAAATACACACGTCAATATTACATAAGTACACACACACATAACATAATAATAAATAAATATTTCCAACACACACACCAATTAGCCTAGGCCCAAAGTAAGCACTGTAAGGCTTGTGTTATGGGATGCTAGGGTAACGGATAGAATACATATACTGTACATATATAAGTATACTAGCAAACTAGTGAACCAAATGTTCACCAAAAAAAAATGTATTTAATTAATTGAGAACTTCGGAGATTTTGTGTGGTTTCGTTTGAAATTCGTGATTTCTCGAAAACCGGAAGTGCTACGTTACTCAAATCCGGTTTGTAGTCTTATCAGACTATTCTTAACTTATAACATAAATATTCTCTTTATCTATCTCTTACGGTTTGGCCGCTGAAACAGCACCACAGACAGACGGACGGACGGACGGACTTGTCTAATAGATAAAGAGATTTATATAGAAATACATATTAAACATCCATGACTGGAGTACAAATGCTCGTATTCACCACACAAACATCCACCCCCACCGGGATTCGAACCCGGGACCTCTCGAGTCGGTGACACCATGAAACCCGGCGTACAAACCAATCGGCCACGGAGGTCGTCTTGCGAAATACTTGTGCATACAAGAATATCAATGAGTGTAATGACATTTTATATAAAGAAAAGTTTACTAGAAAAAAAAAACCACGCGGCCCAGGCAGCGCACGGGACTCGAACCCGCACCCTTCGTTATCCGGGCGAATGCACTGACCATTATGCTACCACGGCCCTATTCGCCGAGACGAAATTTTCCTAGCCTTAAGCTGCAAGGCAGCGCCATCTCTTCGCATTGTAGGTAACCCACAATGTCAAATGAATACTTTTACAAGTATTTCTAGTTATATTTTCTTTAGATTTAAACATCAAGCAGTTACATGCTTTAAAATAATAAAAATTATAATTTGTATGTTTGTTATTCATTCATGCAAAAACGGCTGAACGGATTCGGATGAAGTTAAGCGCACATATAGTTAGTTACTTGGGATGAGATATAGAATATTTGATGGTTTCTCAAAAAAGGAAACTTGACGCGGAGGAAGTCGCGGGCTGCCGCTAGTTTATAATATTAGTACTAAGTATTAAACATTTGAAAATTGTTTTTTTCTAGTAAAATTTTCTTTAGATTTAAACATCTAGCAGTTAAAATACTTAAAAATAAATAAAAAAAGAACTTAATGATATTTTATATTAATAGTGCCGTTACGGCAGTAGTCACTGAAAACAGTGCTCTGTGAGGTGATTTGTAGACTTTATCTACCACAAAATAAGGTTCAAAATAAGCTAGGCTAAAAATTTACAAAAAAAAAGCACCATTCGATCAAGGTCTTGGGCAGGATTAGAACCTGCAACTTCAGCTATCCGGGTGGATGCACTAACCAATTATGATTTCGAGATCTCAAGGATCGTGTCGAATTTCTTCTAGTATTTTTCGTCGCATTGTAGGCAAACCACGAGGCGCAAATTCAAATCCTACCTAACACCTCGATTTTGGTGGATTTTTTCTAGTAAAATTTTCTTTCACATTAGATTTATAGAGCAAGTAGACTCATGCTTAAATAAAAAACAAAATAATAAGCTATGCTAATTTGTGCGTCATGCTCGTGAACGTATTTTAGCAGTAATATGTTTAAATCTAAAGAAAAGTTTACTAAAAAAAAATCCATTGTAGGTACCCACAATAAAATTAGAACCGTAATGCGAAGAGATGGCGCTGCCTTGCAGCTTAAGGCTAGGAAAATTTCGACGCGGCCAATAGGGCCGTGGTAGCATAGTGGTCAGTGCATTCGCCCGGATTGCGAAGGGTGCGGGTTCGAGTCCCGTCCGCTGGTTTTTTTTCTAGAAAATTTTTTTTTAGATTTAAACATCTAGCAGTTAAATGCTTAAAAAAAAAAGTACTTACTCGGATGAAGAAGTTGATGGAGGTTTAGGCAACAGTCTCGGAAGCGGCGGTGGAGAGTTCGGCACTATCTTCACAGGCAACAGATCTGAAAAACAATTTACTGTATTTGTTTCTTAGGTTTTCACGCACATCACTCATTAAATAAAACTACATTTTTATAATTTAACATAAGAAGGAGATAGAAAGCCTCTCTTGAGTTTGTTTTGCCGGTTCTTCTCAGAAAGGTGTCCCAATTTGGGAACCGGTGGTAGTTTACGGTAGTTAGGGTCAAATAAATAAATTCAAAATTACAAAAAAGATTTTTAAATAAAGTACTTTATTAACTAAATTAAGTAATAAATTCACACATAGACAATAAAACTTTAAAAATCGAACAATGAAATAACCGAACGCTCAATAAAAGTCTTTCGAAGATAGCTCGGCAAAATTGAATAAAAAATTGATTCCGAAGAAACGTCAATAAATAAATAAAGTTTCGTGCATTAACCCGTGAAAAACTAGTTTTATTTAATTTAATATAAGTCATACATAAATTGTTCAACATATACAGGAGATCAATTGTTTTTTTATCACCGTCGCCGATGGACACTTGCAACACCAGGAGTATCACAAATGCGATGCCGGCCTTTAAGGGAAGGAGTACGCTCTTTTTTTAAAGGTTTTTGGGTCGTATTGGTCCGGAAACACTGCTGGCGACAATACAGGGTGTAAAAAAACCTTTAACGAAGGCAAAGGCCACGTATTTTCCACATCATGACGATATTTTTTTTCTTCTGGACCATACCATTCATGGTTATGAAATGAAATGAAAGTTTATTTGCATGAAACATAGTTTGTTATAGCTGGTAAATAATATAAAAAGTTCCATATGTTTCGCCCTTGAAAGAGCATACAAAATACTAGTAAATTATCTAAAAATTCAAATTTAAATTGAGTAATAGTTGCATTCCAAATGTCATAATAACTATACATTATATTACACATAATCTCTTATCTATTAGACGAGTCCGTCTGTCCGTGGTGCTGTTTCAGCGGCTAAACCGTAAGAGATAGATAAAGAGAATATTTAAGTTATAAGTTAAGAATAGTCTGATAAGACTACAAACCGGATTTGAGTAACGTAGCACTTCCGGTTTTCGAGAAATCACGAATTTTGAACGAAATCACACAAAATCTCCGAAGTTCTCAATTAATTTTTTTTTTAAATCAGGTTTTGGTGAACATTTGGTTTGCTAGATATCATATAATACATGTCAATTTTTTTAAGTCAATAGCCATTTCCTCATTATGTCAACAAAATTACAATTATTAATTCTTATTATTACTTATTATGGAGATATTGAAGGTCAAAGTCACAATTTTATTTCAAGATTTTTACGAAAACATTATTTATAAACTTTTTTATCGACGAACGTACACACATACACACAGGCACATTGTTTGCGTAGCACCACAGTAGTGCGCCACGCTATACACTGGGTACTGGAATAAAAATTGTTTTTTTTTTAATTTAAAAATACAAATGTTTCCCACTTATAATAATTTGTAATATTACTTGTTTAGGTGTATAGGATGGGTAGTTTTAGTCTTTGTCATATGTTTTTTTACACCCTGTATATTCCACAGTTTTGTCGTACGTGGTTTAAAAATTTCGACAAAAACGCACGGTTTTGGATAGCCACGCATCAAGATGATGGTGATGAAATATTTGTCGCGATGTACGATGGCGAAATGCAGCAGCTGGAATTAATCCGAACAATTCCTCGGAACACTCCCCATGATAATTGTCATTAGCAACAGCCCCTGTACTATTATTTTTTTGTCGCTTACCGACTTACGCCGGAAATACATTTCTCTGTCGTGTTGTGTCGTGACCACAGACTTAGAATATTATAGGAGCAGACCAAACATTAGAGTTTGAAAAGCACGGCAAAACTAACACACCCAAATACCACACACACTAACGCAAATACAAGCACGCCATCCATATTCAACGGTCGTTGCATCGGACATACATTGGACGGCTGTAAATAATAAAATGTATCTATTCACTACTAGGCGGCGGCAGTTTGGGCAATAAAGGCAGCAGTCTTTGCACTATCACCCTTCTATCGGAAACACGAGGCCGGCCTCGTCGTCAACGAGGCACGCCATCCAAATTCAACGGTCGTTGCATCGGACATACATTGGAGGACAGTAAATAATAAAATGTATCTGATCACTGACAGGCGGCGACAGTTTGAGCAATAAAGGCAGCAGTCTCTGCACTACTACCCTTCTATCGGTAACACGAGGCCGGCCTCGTCGTCAACGAGGCACGCCATCCAAATTCAGCGGTCGTTGCATCTGTCATACATTGGAGGACAATAAATAATAAAATGTATCTACTCACTGCTAGGCGGCGGCAGTTTGGGCAGCAAAGGCAGCAGTCTCTGCACTACCACCCTTCTATCGGAGACACGAGGCCGGCCTCGTCGCCAACGAGGCACGCCATCCAAATTTAGCGGTTGTTGCATCTGACATACATTGGAGGACAGTAAATAAATAGAAAGAGCACAAAACACACCGACAAGAGTCCGCTTTGTCATGCTATATTATACCCAATAGTAGTAATAATAAATAGTAAGTAGTAGTATTACCAAATCTATATATAGAAAACTCAAAGGTGACTGACTGACATAGTGATCTATCAACGCCCAAACCAACCAAACCACTGGACGGATCGGGCTGAAATTTGGCATGCAGGTAGATGTTATGACGTAGGCGGCTAAGAAAGGATTTTGATCAATTCTACCCCCAAGGGGATAAAATAGGGAATGAAAGTTTGTATGAAACTTTGTCAATTTTAAACAGATCGGGCTGTGACTTTGCATGCAGGTATAAGAAGAATCATAGATGAATGTCATTGTGTATAATACAAGCCTAAGAACAAAAACTGTAGTCTACACTTCAGCTCTACACCGAAGCGAAGCGAGGGCGGGCGCTAGTACTTATAATATAGGTATAACTATTAAGAAATATATCATATTGCCTTTTCCAATACGTTGTTCTACTATGATCCTGCAGGAAGAAATTTCAAATTGAAATAAGGTGTGCCCTTGTACATATATCATTAATTACCTAAGTAACTTTTACATCTAAATTTGTGTGTGCAAAATAAATATAAAACTTTGTATGCAGTCTCTAGCAGGGCTTGAAACCGGTTTCTAAAATACCGGTAAATAAAGGTTAATACCGGTTTTTAGTAAAGGTTTCGTTCGGAGCACGTCCGAAATGAAAGCGGTACCTAAAACCTTAATAAACCGGTTTAATCCAGAGCGACACGTGCACGCGTCGGCATCACTTGAAGTTTGTTTTGTTTGAAATAATCAAGTCACAACTTGTTAATGCTCAGAGATTGATGCATTTATTGACACGTTTGCTAGCGTCTAGTGAGTCAAGTTATTCATTTTGTAGTTGTGTATTTATTTCAGCCGTCAGTAAGAGCGAAATGAAACCCTTTAAAAACCGCTAAATTGATTCAAAACCTATTTGATTTTGATTTTTAGATAAACCGGGTTTTTAAGGTTAAGGTAGAGCCAAACCTAAATAAAACGCTCCTAATGTACTTGACACTGATTTAGGTTTGAAAATTAACCGGTAAACAAGCCCTGTCTCTAGTTCAAATTGAATTAAAATTCAAAATGATTTATTCAGTATAGGCTGTTAATAGTTCTTGTGAAAGTCAAAGGATATGCCGTCGGTTTGTATATCGTTAATCTACAGCGATAGACCTTGTACTAAGTAAAAATGGCGTAAAATCCACTAGGGGCAATTTTTTTCTCTCCCTATTTTATTTTACGCAGTGTCATCAATTGAAAGGTAGAGGTGCTCTGTGGCTCACAAAATAAATATTACACATACTACCACCAAGCTTTTGACATACAAATACATAGACTAAGTTATAGGCTACATCTTGTGATAAAATCTTGTATGGTTTATAACAGGGCTTGTAACCGGTTTCGAAAATACCGGTAAATAAAGGTTAATACCGGTAAATAAAGGTTAATACCGGTTTTTAGTAAAGGTTTCGTTCGGAGCGCGCCCGAAATGAAAGCGGTACCTAAAACCTTAATAAACCGGTATAATCCAGATCGAAACGAGCACGCGTCGGCATCGCCTGAAGTTTGTTTTGTTTGAACTAATCAAGTCAGTAGTTATTTAAGACCTTATACAGTATGTATTTAAGGTTACTTTCAATAATTAAATAATGCCTTATATTGATTTTGACTACGCGATCATATTACAGAGCTCCGTGGATCGTTCAATGTACCTTTTGGACAGGTTTCGGGCACAATTTTGTTCGTGTTGGTGTATCTAGGGTATTTAATATCGTTGTTACTTACCTCGTTATCGGGGCGAGGCGCGATTGGCGTTGGGTGTCGGAAAATTGGCGCTTGTTCTGGAGGACGCGGTGGGGCGATGCAAGTTTGCTGTTTCTGTAAAAAAAATTAGAATTTTAAAACCTATCCTCCAAGAGTATGGGTAGCGGACAACTTCTACGGTCTTAATAGAAAACGTAGACTAAAGTGATACTGATGCTGTCAAATTTGTTTGGTAAAAAATTGTGTGTGTCAGCTCCGACGCACGACTGGAGTTTACTCCTTAAGTTCGATAGTCTAACCAGACGCAAAAAGAGTTTATTTAACTTAAGAAAGATTGATACTGTATGAAAGGGTAAATTAACAAATTAATGAAAATAATATACATATATAAATATATATTTATTCATTTCATATACATATATTATACTACTTTTTACAATAGTCAATTTCAGATGTGCATAAATATATCATTAGGAATGTTGACAAATTATGTTATTATTATTATCAGATTATCATTTTTTTAAATATTAATTAAATCAACATTGTCTGCATTATTAATTACAGTGACAAGTGGTTTATAGTAACTAAAATAAGACACATGGACGTACGTAGATACGTGGTTCACGAATCTTGAAAATACCGCATCAATGGTTGTACCATACCTCGTTGTCCCCATTGCTCTATCAGAAACAATATCTAAATTCAGTTCAGATTTTAAAATTTTTATTAATGTCAATCCGTCATCTTTGTTTGTCAAAGTTGCGCGACATAGGATGCGCACCAAAAACGTAACGAGGTCATTCATCGATAGATTTTACTCTTCACATTTTTCTCATACCGGGCCCCTTATATATGCAAATCGATTCTTAAGGAGTAAACTCCAAAAACTTCGATCAACAATTCTATAGATAACGGGTTAGCGCGTAAAATGCGTCTCGGTAAGTAAAGCCTCAGTTGAGGCGTGAGATCTTGAGGCCTACTCTATTTCAACGAAAAACGAAATTTCAATCGAAATTTCGCACGTTCCCTACTCATTTCTATTTCATTTCGAAAATTCGTTCGTCCGAAAATAGTTTGACATTTAAATTCTCTAAGCCTACTCTAATTCACAAAACTTTTGAACTAAAAGTTAAAAGAATTTGACAGATAATTGTTCGAAATTTTAACCTCAAATTGACGAAATGAAAAGTGTTACCTTTTCATTTTCGTTTTGGGATTTTTGTTTAAATTAAACCTAAAATTACTACTACAGTCTTTTTAATTAAGGCTGCTTAGCGTGAGAAACATTTTTTAGTAAGAAAGATTTACAAGTAAATCTAATTTTTGATTATTATTGTATTGCCAATACTTCAAAGTGTTACACGACAAATTTAGGTTGACATACATTCGCTTGCATCAACTCTACAAATTAGTCGGCTAACACTGTCAAAAGAGGTTGTTTTAATGTAATCAAAAATGTTGTCATAAACTAATATTGTTTTGAAGTAAAAGACGTTATCTAAAAAGTGTAGATGAAAAGAACTCACAAACATAACTCATTCCATTCGTTCACGATAATTGTCTGTGATTCCGAACTTTATGTGCGTGTTCGAAGATGACATAGAGTAGAGTCACTGGCGAAATTTCGTTTAAAATCCGTTCGTTGTCGAAATTTCGTTTCGGAGAAAGGGAGTAGAGCTCCTTATTTTAAATTAGTTCGGTTAATACTAAACGAAGTAACTCGCTGGCCAATGTCCGGTAAAAATATTTTATTTTGTGAGTCATAAGGTTGATTTCACATTTTCCCTTTTTTCACCTTTATCGTTTTTTTCCAAGTTTCAGACATGATTTGTTTAATTTGTCTTGTTCGTTTTATAGGATAGAAGGTCGTATGTGCGAAATAACATTTTGTTATTTGTAACCTTATTCCTTTGTGAGATAGTTCTTATTAGGTTCAACTTACTATTTTAAAACATTTATCTTTGTTCATTGGGAATCGAATGCAGCTGCATTAGTTTAAGCATACGCGGACAGTTTTTAGCTTCGATTTTGTATGCGAAGAAAACAGAAGCAACATTTGGTTTAAACCTAGACTATAGTCTGTCCATTCTATTATTATCTTTTTGACAGATCGATCGAAGTAAAAATAGTGACACTCTATCAAATAACTCGTTCGATTTAAAGCTATAATCGATTTTATGCTAGAACATTGTTTAATCGATTATAAGTATCGAAATTATTTTGGTTATCAAAAATACTGGTGTTTAATAAATTATTACAAAATCTCATTAGATTTATTATTTTACCCAGTACAAATATTTGTGTGATGAGCACGAGTATTTGTTCTGTGTCTGGGTGTGCTTTATCTATATTATGTATACATATACAACAAAAAAAGCAGTATATTTTTTATATGTTTGTTTATCCTAATACTAATACTCTGTACAATTAGATTTATTGATTATAATTAATAATTTCATTTAAAAAAAAGGTTTATATAAAACTATATCTTTGACTTTTTTCTTTACAATTTGGTTGCACTCATTTATTTCTACCGATTATTTGTAATCTGTGGCACAATGTTAGTAATCATTATGTGAGGCACATCACTAAGTGGGCGGTACCCGTCCATGAAGTACAATATTATTTGTATGACATTTTAACGTAAACAATACAAAATTTCATGGACGTCGATCTGTCAAAAAGATAATAATAGAATGGACAGACTTTAACTTTAGTCCGCGTTCTGGAATAAGGCGGTTAGAGTTTAAACCATAGAAGTTTTCAAGAAATTAAAGAAGCCGTGTCAACGTGGCTCAAAGCATTGGACTATGACTCAACTGAAGCACTTATGTCACAATATAAATAATAACGTTCTTAAAAACCATGCTTACATTCATTCAGAATTCATGCTTTCACAGATTAAACACTGTCATACTCATTCACTCACACACTCTCACATAACCACACACACTCACACGCACACAAACACACACACACACACACAAACACACACACGCGCATGCACATCACACACTTTCGTGGCCGTGTGGTTTGTACGCCGGGTTTCATGGTGTCGCCAACTCGAGAGGTCCCGGGTTCAAATCCCGGTGGGGGCAGATGTTTGTGTGATGAATACGTGCATTTGTACTCCAGTCATGGATGTTTAATATGTATTTCTATATAAATTTACTTATATATGTACTGTTACGTATTCTATCCGTTACGTTATTGGTGTGAGTGTTGGAAATATTTATATTTATTTATTTACCCCCTCCTCCCCCTTGTCAGCAAAAGGAAGCAAAGCTCTACCCCCCCCCCGCTCCCCCCTACATGCATTTTTCTTTTTTTTATGATTCATGCGCTTCATGAGCAGCAGTACGCACATAATATTCATCTAAACAAACATTATTGACACAGAATTCAACAAAAAGTGAGGTACAAATATTATAATCTCTAATTAAGTACTATTACGAACAAAACAAACTTCTTTCTAATTTTTGGTATCTCTTATCTATTAGACAAGTCCGTCCGTCCGTCTGTCTGTGGTGCTGTTTCAGTGGCCAAACCGTAAGAGATAGATAAAGAGAATGTTTAAGTTATAAGTTAAGAATAGTCTGATAAGACTACAAACCGGATTTGAGAAATCACGAATTTCAAACGAAACCACACAAAATCTCCGCAGTTCTCAATTAATTAAATACATTTTTTGAAGTGAAACTTCTTTAACGGCGTTGGAAAAAAAATTGCCGTCACATTTTTTCGGTTACGCGTCACGTTTTTTGGTTACGCGCCATCTTTTTTTTAAAAGAGCACTATTTACCTCATCCGAACAATTGCTTCTTCTGTTAACTTCGTGCAAATATTCGTGTTTCACACAAGGTAAGGTAAGGTAAGGTAAGGTAAGGTGTAGTTATACCCCTTTAGTGGGTGAGTTTTTGAAAAATCTTAGCGCACGCCTATATATATATATTTCTGGAAAGTTGCACGTAGATCATTTTTCGAAAAAAATAAGGCCATAAAGAAGTTTCACTTCTTACGTGTGTACACTAGTACACGCACACATATTTTTTTTAAATCAGGTTTTGGTGAACATTTGGTTCACTGGTTTGCTAGTACATATTAATTCCAATTAACAGTCTTCAGTCCATGATGCTGACGTAATCACTATTTCGACCCGGGGGGTGGGGCTCCCATGTCATCAAAAATAAGCAAAGCAAAGCAAAGACTGTCCCCCTATAGTGCTTACGTAATACTTGAACGGCCCCTTAAAAGATATAATTCATTAGGGATGTCGAAAGTTGAAAAAAATATCGATATATCGATACATCGATCTTTTAAAAAATATCAATACCGGCTTCGATATATCGCGAAAAAAACATCGATATATCGGACCAATTTTATCAAAAATATCGTACAGTAGCTCACGAAATATGACACGCGGAATAATAATGGAACGAAAATTATCTCCCTAAAAATAGACCCTATTTTCGAATGATGACATAGACAATACTAAATACAGCACAGATCATAGATATGATGAATATCATTAATCTGAGATCCAGTTACGATTTTTCCAGATACGAATTTAGTTAGATCGTGATATGCCGCTAATAATTAAAAAAATATCGTTTTTGATACGAATTTCGATATTGGTTATTTTGTATCGATGTATCGATATATCGAATCAAAATATATCAGCAAAAAATATCGATATATCGAACAAAAAATATCGATATATCGATACATCGATATATTTTCAACAAGCCTATAATTCATACCGGCCCCTGTCTTCGCTGCGAGCACACGTGTCCACAGTTGCAGCGAACATTTGATGAAGTAGTCGCACTGACGTGAGGATTGCCCACGAAACTGAGCAATCGTTTCAACCTGTTGAAGGCACGATATTTAATTAATTGAAAAACTAATCGCAGAGTCTAACATGCAAACTATTATAAGTGTTCGGTGCTTACAATATTTTTAAACAAAATCAAGCAAGTAAAGTCGAAAAAAGACACTTTTTCAAGTATAGTTATTTTTTAATTTAAATAAAACTAGTTTTTCACGGGTTAATGCACGAAACTTTATATATTTATTGACGTTTCGCAGCCTTTACAGGCTGCTTCGTCGGAATCATTTTTTTTATTTAATTTTGTCGAGCTACCTTCGAAAGACTTTTATTGAGCGTTCGGTTATTTCATTGTTCGATTTTTATGCATGAATTTATTACTTATTTTAGTTAATAAAGTACTTTATTAAATATTCTTTTTTGTAATTTTGAGTTTATTTATTTGACCTTAACTACCGTAAACTACCACCGGTTCCAAAATTGGGAGACCTTTCTGAGAACGTCAATAAATATATAAAGTTTCGTGCATTAACCCGTGAAAAACTAGTTTTATTTAATGAGTGATGTGCGTGAAAACCTAAGAAATAAATATTTTTGAAGTTATACTTCTTTAGGCGCGTTATGAAAAAATGATGAGAGTGAAATTTTAAGATGCGCGCGCATCACTGTAACACAAAATTTTAACAGCATGAAGTAACTTCATGCGTTACTTTTGTGTTTACCGCACATTAAGAAAATCTACCAACAAAATAGAATCTCTATTTAGTGGGTGCTAACGACTGCATTGTGAAGGCCTATCAAAAGTATTTATTAATCTGGAACAACGGAACCAAAGCGCGATTCAGGAGACTACAGCGCCATCTCTTGACCATTGGTGTAGTAGAACCAAAAACCACATCTTTATTTTTTGTAATAAAGTAACAGTTATAGGTAATTTATAATATCAAAAGTATTTATTTAATTTAGTTTTATTATTTGTTGTGATAGCGACTACAGTAAAACCGTAAGGTCTTCAGCGCGTGTTGTTGCTCTACACAATCAACAAAACTATATCAAAATTCAACGAAACTGTCTACACAAAACTTTGTTTCACTTGTTTGCATCAAAAAAGTTTTTTCTTTCTGAGCCCGATGGAAGACACGTACAGAAATCACTCCCGCGAGAGTCGAAGGAAAGGTAAAGGTATTATGTCATCCGCCATTTTTTTGACAACCCCATAGTGAGGGCGGCGTTCCAAAACCTACGTTTCAAATGCAACTTTTCACTCTGACGTTTGAATTCTGACACAAAATGTATGAAAGTTCTGACAAATTTCATATTTGTTGCATCTCGTAGGTTTACAACGCAGCCCTGTACATTTTGTGTACGACAGCCACGTGAGCAGTAGATGGCGTGTTTAGAGAAACATGTTTTAGAAACAAAGTTTTGTGTTTATATGTTTTTGATGAACGTTCTCAAAAAAAATTTGCTGGATTTTTTCCGGCTTTACGCACATATTGTATAAAAAATCTGATGTCCTATTTCCATCCTTATAGATAGAGCCCTGTGCTGTAAGACTGTGACTGGCACTGCCCCCACCGGGATTCGAACCCGAGACCTCTCGAGTCGGCGACACCCGGCGTACAAACCACTCGGCCAAGGAGGTCGTCAACTCACAAGTTATTATTTTACAATTAACAATGTGCGGTAGGATCCTTTTACAAAAAACTGTGGAGTGGTCATTTAGAACGGGATGAACTAATCCCAACAAATGTCTGTGAAAAGTCGCAGGCTTGGTGTGATAAAATTAAAAAAAAAATCTATATCGTTATAAATTTTATTATTTTAGAGCATGTAACTGCTTGATGTTTAAATCTAAAGAAAATATAACTAGAAAAAAATCCACGCGGACCAGGCATTGTGGGTTACCTATAATGCGCAGAGATGGCGCTGCTTTGCAGCTTAAGAATGGCTAGAAGAATTTCGACGCGGTCCGTGAGGGCCGCGGTAGCATGATTGGTCAGTGCATTCGCCCGGATTGCGAAGGGTGCGGGTTCGAGTCCCGTCTGCTGCCTGGTCCGCGTGGATTTTTTTTCTACTTATATTTTCTTTAAAATTCAATATCGTTTATTCAGTCTAGGCTGTTACAAGCACTTGTGAATGTCGAAAAGCTACGCCATCGGTAAGCAAATCTACGGCGGGAGACCTCGTACTGAGAAGAACCGACAAGAAACTCCGCAAGGGCGGTTTTTTTTTTCTCCCTGTATTATATACAGAGTTGTCAATATGAGACGACACGGCATTCCTAAACTTTGTTAAACCAGTTTTTTATATAATCATATTTTTTATTATATTAGCATTTGTAATGGAAAGTGACTTTATGAGTTACCTCATATTGAAGTCATTTTTCAATTTGACGACTCTGTATACAATACAGGGAGAAAAACACAGCCCTTGCTGAGTTTCTTGCCGGTTCTTCTCAGTACAAGGTCTCCCGCCGTAGATTTGCTTACCGATGGCGTAGCTTTTCGACATTCACAAGTGCTTGTAACAGCCCAGACTGAATAAACGATATTGAATTTTGAATTTTGAGATAACTCAGCCCTCTGTGCAGAACCTGCCTGGAAGAGGATGAGACGAGCGCCCATGTCCTACTGGAGTGCAGGGGCGTTGCAAGACAAAGGACTTCTCTAATGGGAAGCCCGAAGACAATAGCAGAGGCCTGCAGCAACATTCGGGGACTGCTGAGCTTTCTGGAGGAGCTGGGATAGCAGGACTGATGCCAATCCCCACGCAAAATAGTGCCACTGGGTGCTTAGATTAAAACAAAAAGGGTAGATACGGTACGCTCATACTAGCATCAAATAAAATATGATCTGACTCAACTACATAAGCAACTCTCACACACGCACACGTCTGTATATAAACATCAATCGAGCGAGCGAGACAGAACTATACGTTTCAACGCAGCGTATTGTTGTCCTTTTCTTGCTTACAAAATGGCGATTACGTAAATAATATTCACGACAAAACGTGATTTTTGAGAAAAAAATGTTGTCACAGTTTTACGAATGAAAAGTATTGCCGGGGCATTTGATTTTGAACTATTTGTGTTCTTGATAAAAGCATCAAAGGCATTGTTATATCTTCATAACACAGAATATACGCAATATTGTTATATTGAGTGTACATGTTTGAATGTCAAATTGTGACTAAAGCGAATTATGGTTGTGGACCACAATTTAAGCGGATCACTTTTGAGCCGCCAATGCCGTATCTTCCCTTTTTGTTTTAATCTAAGACTGGGTGTCGAGTTGCGGAAACAGCCCGCCGTACTACTAAGACTAAGACTGATGAGATAGCTCATGAAGTCACTTTCCATTACAAATGTAAATGATATTTGTTTCTTAGGTTTTCACGCACATCACTCATTAAATAAAACTAGTTTTTACGGGTTAATGCACGAAACTTTATTTATTTATTGACGTTTCGTAGCCTTTACAGGCTACGTCGTCAGAATCAAACTTTTATTTAATTTGTCGAGCTACCTTCGAAAGACTTTTATTGAGCGTTCGGTTATTTCATTGTTCGATTTTTAAAGTTTTGTTGTCTATGTATGAATTTATTATTGAATTTACTTAATAAAGTATTTTATTTAAAATTCTTTTTTGTAATTTTGAGTTTATTTATTTGACCCTAACTACCGTAAACTACCACCCGTTCCAAAATTGGGAGACCTTTCCGAGAAGAACCGGCGAAACAAACTCAAGAGAGGCTTTCTATCTCCTTCTTGTGTTAAATTAATAAATAAAATAAATAAATAAAGTTTCGTGCATTAACCCGTAAAAACTAGTTTCATTTAAATGTAAATGATATAAAATTATGACTATAAAATAAAAATATATGTCGGCGGATGGCGTCTCACTCGCTCCTTCGAAACGTTAAACCGACAACAAATGTCATCAGTCAAGAGTACCATTGCCTTGTGAAACGTCAAGTAATGACAGTGACTGCTGTCATCACTTGGGAGTGGTCTATGCTAAGGGTAGTATTTAAGGGGCTATGCGTCATTGGAAGGGGCATTCGGCATTCGGCATTCAGACGTGAGCCGCGATAGTGAACGGACGTTAGCAGAGAACTCTCCGCGGTTCACAAAGCAATCCGTTTGTACCTTGGCAATCATAACTGATTTTGTAAAGTAATAAGAAGATTCAAATTAAACGTTAGCTTGGTTACTACACTACAGTTTTATTTTCGGGAAATATCATTGAATAACCAAGATGGCGGATCAAAAAAAACCACGTGGCCAACCGCCTATATTACCGCTCGCCCCCTCCGACATATATAATTGAAAAATGACTTCAATGTGAGATAACTCATGAAGTCACTTTCCAAGCGTGAAGATATAATAAGTTAGCGGTTCTCACCTGTCCCTTAGTAGGTTGAAACCTTGCTCGTGCTGTTGGTTTGGCGTAGGCCTGTTTATGAGCTTGCTAGTTAGCTTTAATGTGCAGCTAGACGCTTTGTGGTCCGGGGATGCAAGTTGCTCGTCTACAAATCAAAAGGAAATGGGTCAATCCATCTAGTTATATAATTTATTGGTATATTTTGATTTTGACTTATAATTATTTCCCTCCACTTTTGATCTCACACACACACTTCCGCCCGCACGCACTTTCACGCACACACAACATATAATGCGATCCAACTAATAGTTAATAAGTCATTAAAATGCGTTGGATTTGTTATCAGATATACCAAATTCTTTAAAAACAAATCTAGTGTAATAAGGTTATACGAGAGTCTAGTCAGATCGCTTTTAGAGTACTGTTGCGTCGTTTGGCACCCGTATTATGAGGTCCACTCCAATAAAATCGAACGCGTCCAGAAGAGGTTCTTGTACCACTTATCATACAAATTTAATTTGTGTAAAAGCCTTAAAAGCTATTCGGACCGGTTAAGACATTTTAATCTTATATCTCTTAAAAATCGCCGCAAAATTTTAAATCTTTCGTTCCTTCACAATTTAGTCAACGGCAACTTAAATTGTCCTCAATTGCTTCAAAAAGTTAATTTTACAATTTCTCATAATCTTCCGCGCCTCTCTAGATACTCATTATTTAAACCAAAGCGCTCCAAGACGAACCTAGGCTCATTTTCCCCTATTAACAGGCTCCTTACTGATTATAATAATATCAGTAAAAATCGTGAAATTGACATATTCCATCTAAGTTTACCTGCATTAAAAAAAAAATTACGTATAATGTTCAAATAGATTCTTAGTATTAACTTTTTCTTGTAATAAACCTTTATTTAAATTATAATATTTAAGCTAAGGGATGCCCTACGCTCCCGACTCCCATTGTATACGCTTGCCGTGGCAACCTGTAATTGAGGTCGCACCAACTCTTTTATAACAAATGTGTAACTTTTAGCTTTTAAGGTGTATGATCTTGTTGGTTGTCCAAATAAATAAATAAAATAAAAAAAACTAAGAATAGGAGCGACTGGGCGCCATATTTTGACGTCATAGCTGTCAATTCAAACCAAATAGGTAGAGTGAGCAAAAAATTGTTGCTATTTAAAAAAACTTATTTACTAAGATTAAGTGAGACAAAACATCAGATTTTTTAATAAAATTAATTTACTAAGGTTGAGAATGAACACAACCGATTTTTAATAGTATTCCTTTATTAAGACTGTATGAAAAAAAAACATTAATCACAATCTAGCTCTACAATTTCGCTCATCTCTGCATTACCGCCGGAGAAGATATGAATAACCATGCAGGTCACATACGAACATTCATCCTATATGTAAACGAAAGTTTTAAATCGAGTTTTTGAACGCAACATAATGTGACATTTGGTTGACGATTTAGGTTATCAACCATTCATAGCCAATGCTCAATAAATGAAATGAATGAAAAGAACTTCTATTAATTATCAACATTTGTTATTGTTTGTTTAAAAATATTTGGTTTTTTTTCTAGAATCGGCTGAGTGCTAAAAAAGTGTTCCGAGATTATTTTGCAAACCGTACTTTTCAAGCGATATTTGACAGATGGAGGTCATTGGCTTGCCTATTCTTATTTGAATCGCATTATATACACACACACACCTACATGCATTCAAAAATTAGTTTTGTTTTTCTCTCCTTACATTTATTTAACTCAAACTTCACTTTTAATGTTATACTGAAGCAATGATATCAGTGAGCCATAGCTGCCAGTTGTAATGTCAGCCAACATATGGGCCGAGCCTAACTCCCTTAATACAAGTTGTCTTGTCAACTTAGAAAGGTAGCTAGTGTTCCAACAACTTGAGCTCCTTTTAGCGATAATTGGATAGCAACCAAATGTACCTCACGATTGTAAAAAAAATATGATGCAAATAAATTATTATTATTAATATTTATACTCTATGATACAGCGATAAAAATTTGAGTGGTCTTTGTATAGGCTTGTTGAAAATATATCGATATATCGATATTTTTTGCCGATATATTTTGATTCGATATATCGATACATCGATACAAAATAACCAATATCGAAATTCGTACCAAAAACGATATTTTTTTCATTATTAGCGGCATATCACGATCTAACTAAATTGGTATCTGGAAAAATCGTAACTGGATCTCAGATTAATGATATTCAACATATCTATGATCTGTGCTGTATTTAGTATTGCCTATGTCATCATTCGAAAATAGGGTCTATTTTTAGGGAGATAATTTTCGTTCCATTATTATTCCGCTTGTCATATTTCGTGAGCTACTGTACGATATTTTTGGGAAAATTAGTCCGATATATCGATGTTTTTTTCGCTATATATCGAAGCCGAAATTAATAATTTTCAACTTTCGACATCCCTATTTTTGTATTGGTAGCGACTAGATTTTATATAAATGTTGCTACTTCTGTTAAATGTTGATAAGTTTCTTGCGCTCATACTTCTCATTAGCTGAAACATGGCTTGAATGGGTGGTAGGAAAAAAAATTGGACGATTTAAATTAGCTTTCAATAACTCAATAGGGAATTAAATAATAATATTGAATTAATTAATATAATAATAGAGAAGATGCAATATTTTTATTTTTGTTTTCATTTTAAAGAATTCCATGTAGAATAAACCACAGATATATTAAAAAATTAAAATATTGTGATTTATCGGAAAAAATGCGGTTTTAAATTGACAATTTAAATTTTCGCGCCAAAACGAACCTATGGTTGCGATGACGTCACTTCTGTCTGTCACTGGTCGTACTTGTTCGTCGCTGGCTTTAAATTTTCATACTTTTGCATATTTTTTCGACTTTCGAAATATTTTTTTGAAAAATTTAAAATGGACTATCCATCAACATCATGTGATCATAACAATACTACTAATATTCCGAAAAAAAGCCGTGTTGACTCATGTTTTGTGCCAATCTACTTCAACAAAGTTTCCAAATAAATTGTTTTTGACTGGAACTTCTGACCCAAAACTGAAAAAAAGTGGTTTGAAGCTGCGAAGAGAAATGACAATTATTGTCCAAAGACCATTATTCGATGCTGTGAAGATCACTTTGACGTAAGTCGGCGAATATACTTGTTATATGTTTAATTAATCTGCTTGTACGTAAAAACGCATTAGTAACCTACCTAATACTTACAAAACCTGTCTATAACATATTTTTAATTTTACAGTTGGAGAATGACGTCGAAAATTAGATAAACTTTAAAATGTGTGGCACAATCTTCACATTGGCAGGACTGAACCAAGCTTTGCGTTTCATTTAAAATAACTGTAACACGATAACCTTTTTTACGTACTTTATGCTCCGGAGAACTCGACCTTTTACTGTACATAATTCTCCATCTCTTTTAATTTGGACATAGCCGATTGCATTATCGCCGTAAGATTTGTAGAAGCCGCTGAATAAAATACGAAGTTTACCTACTACTATTTTTACATACCGTAGTAATTTAGTCCCTTTCATTTCTACACAAAAAAAGTTATAACCATGTCAACACTAACTCTTGGTAAATTCCTGGAGTCTGCTGTGATAAACGCAACTTCCATTTTAATTAAATGTAAAAAAACGCAATTAATATTCCCATAAAATAATATTTACTTTAACAACAATAACCTCAAAGAAGTTGTCATAACAGGAGTGACGTCACTAAACGCTGATTGATGTTTTAAAATACGTTCTGTTTCAAGTATTTTTAATTCGTAATAATTGTTAAAAATCAACATTATGTAAAATAAAAACGTTGCAGTGGCATTTCTTTTATATTTTTTTAACATTTTAATCATAAAATTTTCGTAAATATTATATATGCATCTTCCCTATTCCCAATTAGTTTTTTTTTACGTACAACTCGAAAAAACTTCTCAAACTCGCGTACCCCTTATTGCAGGAATGATAAATAAAACATGAAATTATGATTTAATATCTAAGTTAAGGGATGGTTGCGCGTACCCCTTGCTGCAACCCTGCGTACCCCTGGGGGTACGCATACTACTAATTAGAAAACGATCTCACGTTATTGACTAATGTTTATGGAGTCCGTAAAAAGTGGATATTCATCATTCTGTAAAAATAACCAAATCAAAAACTCCATTTTCAAGTTGCCGCGAAAACGTTTCTCTGGACAACATGGCGTCTTACTAGTGTGTGACGTCACACGACTGCTATTAAAACGTCAAACGATACAATGTAATGTCACTTTAACCGCAAGTTTACTTGCGTGTGACGTCATTTTAGGCTCCTCCAATCCCAAGCGTTTTGGGTCACGTGACAATAGATATGAAAACTATTATCTGTTTCGTGGGTATGAATATTTTTTTTTGTAAAAATAGTAAAAACCCCTGCCAATATTCATTCTAAACATAGATGTTAACAATGGCACTTCATTTTTAATACTGTCGAATACCCTATTCGAATAAAGTATTATGTCATTTGAATGTAAGAAAGTTAAGCAACTTTCGCAGTGGTCGGTCATTGGTGATCAAACAAGTGAGCTCCTCCGTGCTTCGGAAGGCACGTTAAGCCGTTGGTCCCGGCTGCATCTGCAGTCGTTAGCACCCGCCAATCCGCACTGGGCCCGCGTGGTGGGTCGTGGCCAAATCTCCCTATTCCATCTTTAGGGAAGGCCTGTGCCCCAGCAGTGGGGACATTAATAGGCTGATGATGATGATGAAACTTGCAATGTGTCCTTGACGACCTCCGTGGCCGAGTGGTTTGTACGCCGTTTCATGGTGTTGCCGACTCGAGAGGTCCCGGGTTCGAATCCCGGTGGGGGCAGATGTTTGTGTGATGAATACGTGCATTTGTACTCCAGTCATGGATGTTTAATATGTATTTCTATATAAATATACTTATATATGTACAGTATATGTATTCTATCCGTTACCCTAGTATCCCATAACACAAGCCTTATAGTGCTTACTTTGGGGCTAGGCTAATTGGTGTGTGTGTTGGAAATATTTATTTATTTTATTTATTTATTAGCTCTATCTATAGGGAAAGAATAGGAGCGACTTTATTAGCCATGTGAATAGCCGAAATAATAATATTTATTTGTTCTCTTCTCACACGCTGAATTTACTAAAAAAATATAGGTGATTTAAACAAATACAATCGATTAAGCATCAGCCATCATTAAATATTTCAAAAGCTACGTATTTGAAGTGTGAGAAGCTGATGCCTGAAGTAGGCATTAAAGGCCTGTAGTACAGATCACCAGGCTCCCACCCGTCAGAAATTATCCTATATTAACATATATTATAACATAACTTATAAATATTACCCATATTATTAATCAACTTCTTCCTCATTGATTTAGTGATCACTTAGTTTAGTGCTATTTGTCTATTAAACCTAGGTTATTTATACATTATTGTTGGGTTATAAAGAGGGACTCCGTGCTGTCATAATTCATGGCACTCAACCATTCGTTCACCTTTACTTTGCATTCATATGTATTACATGTGTATATTTGTAGTCTTCTATCTATGCTGTTATACAAAAAGCCACCCAAAAAACAAGAATACCTTTTCGTAAAAGCTTTTCTAACTGCATAAAAACCGCCGCGAAAAATAACAATAATGTGTTATATGAAAAACTAAAAAAAAACTAAAAAAAAAAAAAAAAATGTGTGCGTGTACTAGTGTACACACGTAAGAAGTGAAACTTCTTTATGGCCTTATTTTTTCGAAAAATGATCTACATGCAACTTTCCAGAAATATATATATAGGCGTGCGCTAAGATTTTTCAAAAACTCACCCACTAAAGGGGTATAACTACACCTTACCTTACCTTACCTTACCTTACCTTACCTTACCTTACCTTACCTTACCTTACCTTACCTTACCTTACCTTACCTTGTGTGAAACACGAATATTTGCTGTCGATACTTTTTTTTTTTAAAGTTGACAGAAGAAGCAATTGTTCGGATGAGGTAAATAGTGCTCTTTTAAAAAAAAGATGGCGCGTAACCAAAAAACGTGACGCGTAACCGAAAAAATGTGACGGTAAATTTTTTTCCAACGCCGATAAAGAAGTTTCACTTCAAGAAAAAAAACTAACTACTCCTTCCTTAAAGGCCGGCATCGCATTTGTGATACTCCTGGTGTTGCAAGTGTCCATGGGCGGCGGTGATCACTTACCATCAGGTGAGCCGTCTGCTCGTATGCCCCCTATAACATAAAAAAAAAATGACTTACTTTTTCTCTCATCCCCCGACATCCCATCATTGCTATCTTGGCCGTACGCGATCTTAGGAGAGAATATATCGATATCACTCTCTCTCGCTCGCTCTCCATCTTCCAGTGTCACTTCTACGGGCTTGTCCGGGGTTTTGTCGGTCTTCTCTTTCTTATCGACATGTTTCTCCTTGTCTGGCTCTTGTTTAACGGTTTTTAAGATAGCTTGCGGTGGCTGAGGCAAAGGTGAAGTGGGTTCGGCCCACCAGTAGTCCAATTCGAGTTTGGATCGGGATCCGAACTAAAAAAAACAATTTAAATATAAAGTTAAGATATTATCATCTGTATACAGTTAATATAATTAAATTAAATAATAAATTCATACATAGACAATAAAACTTTAAAAATCGAACTATGAAATAACCGAACGCTCAATAAAAGTCTTTCGAAGGTAGCTCGACAAATTAAATAAAAGTTTAATTCTGACGACGTAGCCTGTAAAGACTACGAAACGTCAATAAATAAATAAAGTTTCGTGCATTAACCCGTAAAAAGTCATTTTATAAATGTATTTTATTAAAAACAAGACACATATTATAATTTAAGGATCTCTTATCAGTAAAATCAAGTAATTCGATGTTAAAAATCTTTTTATTCAAAGATTACAAACTTAACTTTTTTTTATTAAAGTGGGACGAAGAAATCCAAACATACAGCCATCTCGCGAGTTTTTGAATAATTAACCCTTTAAACAGCAGCACTCTTATAATACGGGTATTTTCAATTAATTGTAAATACTTTTTTGGTTTATACCAAAAAGTAAAATAAAATGGAATGTCGATTTTCAAGGGTGAAATATCGATTCACTGATTCGATTCAGTACTCCATATCGATTTATACAATCGATGTTTTTGGCTCCAAAAATCAATTCTTCGATTGATTTATCTCGCCATTCCTATTCAATAATCAACCTCGCGTAAACGTAAGGATAAATTGGTTTCGATTCTTAGCAACAGTTGAGTTATTATTATTGTAATTAATAAAAAAATCTCAAAACTCTAACAGCAGGCCTATCACTTTCTGGAGTTTGATTATTGCAACAGTAAGAGCTCGATGGCGCAAGTGGTTAGTGCGTACGGCTGCAATAGTTGAAGTTAAGCAACTTTCGCAGTGGTCGGTCATTGGATGGGTGACCAAAAATCTTCTATCTCGAGTTCCTCCGTGCTTCGGACGGTACGTTAAGACGTTGGTCCCGGCTGCATCGGCAGTCGTTAGCACCCGCCAATCCGCACTGGGCCCGCGTGGTGGGTCATGGCCCAATCTCCCTATTCCATCCATAGAAGGCCTGAGCCCCAACAGTAGGGATATTAATAAGCTGATGATGATGAATAATGCAAAACTCATTCAGAATGCTGCACTTGAATTATTTATTTGGTTTTGGTATAATCATATTAGAAGAAATAGTGCATACAGCTTATAACCTTATTTTTTCTTCCACACCATCTTGGACATCTTTTAGGTGAAGAAAAGAATGACACACGCTAATGTATAATGCGATTCAAAAAAGAATAGGAAAGCCAATGACCTCCATCTGTCAAATGTTGCTTGAAAAGTACGGTTTGCAAAAAAAATCTCGGAACACTTTTTTAACATTCAGCTGATTCTAGAATAAAAACCAAACATTTTTAAACAAACAATAACAAATGTTGATAATTAATATTAGTTGTTTTTTTTTTCATTTATTGAGCTTTGGCTATGAATGGTTGATAACCTAAATCATCAACCAAATGTGTCTTTATGGTGCGTTCAAAAACTCGATTTAAAACTTTTACATATAGGATGCATGTTCGTATGTGACCTGCATGATTATTTATAACTTCTCCGGCGGTAATGCAGAGATGAGCGAAATTGAAGAGTTAGATTATGATTAATGATTTTTTTCACACAGTTTTAATAAAGAAATACTATTAAAAATCGGTTGAGTTCTTTCTCAACCTTAGTAAATTAATTTTGTTAAAACATCTGATGTTTTGTCTCACTTAATCTTAGTAAATAAGTTTTATTAAATAGCAACATTTTTTTGCTCACTCTACCTATTTGGTTTGAATGGCAGCTATGACGACATAATATGGCGCCCAGACGGTCCTATTCTTAGTTGAATCGCATTATAATTGTGCTACATAAGCTTGGCACAAGCGGGTGCCTTTGTACACGATTTTCAGTTGGGAAACTCTGTGGGTAAAAATGACTTACCATAAGATACAAATCCCCTATTGTGAGATCTCCAGCGTCGTATTCGCTCCAGCCCTTCTTGATCTGCCTGATTGCTAGTTCTACGTCGATGTCGGGCTTCGGGTCATCCTCGGAGGTCTTCTGGTCATCTGTCATTTTCACTTCTTCCTGTTCCTTGTCCAGGACTAAAGTGTAAATGCTGCCGCCTCGTTTCTTCGGACGTATACGGAACTTCACCTGTCGTATTTAATGTGATTATCATTGTATTTTTAGCCACAAAAAGTATTATATAGTTTGTAATCACGAAATTAGTGTGAATTTTATGGATGACCCGAAGGCGCTGACTTTCTGTGGTAAAGCTATGAAGCCAAATGGCATATTCGAAGACTGTTGCAAAAGGGGTGATAACTGACTACCTATACAAGAAGAAAATGACTAACGCGCAACCCAAACCGCTGGGCCATTTTTCTGTTTTACTATTATAATACTATAAGTTATACGTTTATTATCATATTTTTTATTGTTAATGGTAGAATAGGAATTGTTTTCACGATTGTTTACTAAACCAGTCTGTATAACTAATTAGAACCTTTGTTAATTAATCATCAATAAAAAACCTGTCACTTATTTTCCGAAAACAGTTTATTATAATTGGCTTATTTCACTATGTGCCCATTTTTTACTAAAGAACATAAAACAAAAACGTAACTATTTAATATAGAGGCGATTCATTTCTAATGTTATATATTTGATAGATGACCAATTTTGTCATATGCTAGTTTAATAATTAATGATGTTCTAAATTAAAGGAAAATGAAATAAATGTCCACGCAACACTGAATGGGGTACTTCAATACTGAGGGAGGCGCGGTATGCGTGTCATTTAAAAGAGACGGAAATAGTACGTTTGTCTTCTTCTGGCCTTAAAGAGCCTGTTTATTATTAATAAACTGATAGAATACATGTATTTATGTCGTTTCACGTTTAAAAGTCATTTTGCTATTTTTTTATTTAAGTAACTTCAATTCTAAAGGTGCGATATGTTCCGAGCAGGTTTCCTTCGCACGAACACATGCGCAAAATGCTAGTTCGTATAGAAATGTTACTTAATAAATAAATTGTATCAATAAATACTCAATAATAATAAAAAAACCAGTAAATCTATACCTTAAGATTTTTAAACTTCGTTTGCTTGCCACTCTTTTCATTCTTGCCTGGATCGCTTTCATTATCTGTATCACTCTTATTGTATTTCTCGTCATCCTCCATCTCCGAAAAGCTGTCTTTCTCCTTTTCTGACATATCTTTTTCCTTCTCTGACATATCCTTATCCTTCTCCGAAACATCTTTTTCCCTCTCTACCACATCTTTCTCACTTTCTGGTACCTCTTTGTCTTTTTCCAAAAGATCCTTGTCTCTTTCTGAGCCATTCTCTTGTAATTCCTCGTCCGCTGTTTCTTCAGCTTTAATTTCCTTCTCGTCTTCCGTGCTCGGTTTCTCTTCGTCTTCTAGAATGTTCTTGTAGTTAGCCATTAGCTCTATACCATCGATGGCGGTCTCGTCGATGTTCATCAATTTATGGGACTCGTTGTCTTCTTTGAACTTCTTTGGCTCAACTTCTTTGTCTTTGTCTGTGGCGCTGTCTTTTCTTTGGCGCTTCGGTGTGCGTAGCTTTGCTGTGAAAATGTTTATCATCAAATGATCTTTCCGTTTTACTGTATATACCATAACTGTTTTTGAAATTGAGTTTGCTCCAAAAGTATTTCTTTAAACTTTATTTAAAAAGGACTTTAAGTTGCAAACAGAAAAGCTTCTTTAGAGCTAAACTGCGATTCATTCTTAATGGTGGTTGTGAAGTTAGCAGCGAGCGTAACTATGCGCAGGTTTCAGTTCAGTGACACATGGCGCGCACTTATATCACCCAACATTTCGTTTACTGCGCCGCGACTTGCTCTAACTTCACAGCCAATTAAATTTGAATCGCACTATAGGCTCATGCACAACTTATTAACATAGAGCAAGCATTAACTATCGAATTGGTTTTTGTTACTCACATCCGCCGTCCTTGTCGCGTCGCTGCGAGCACATGCGCTCCAAATATGAGGAGAAGCATATTTTCTGACTGGAAAGCTGCTCGCTGGGGCTTAGAACGGGCAAATTTATGTCAGCGCTGGGCTTAGGACCCAGATGCAGGACCACTTTCTTGGGCTGCCTTTGTTCTACGAGAATAAAAGTGTTTTCAACATTTTATTTCCCATTGCAACCTATTAAATTAGTAACACGGATTTATTTCCTATTTTTAGCCGAACTTCACCTGGTTTGAACCCTATCCTGATGTATAAAGCATACTCTTTATAATACGTTTAATAATTAAGTTTGGCTACAAGATTAATACTTAAGATTGTACAATGTAGGGAAAAGGTTAGATTCCGTAAAGTATTTTCAGGTGTTTCAAAAATTAAAAAAGTTTTAAAGTCATAAAAAAATGTGTGCGTGTACTAGTGTACACACGTAAGAAGTGAAACTTCTTTATGGCCTTATTTTTTTCGAAAAATGATCTACATGCAACTTTCCAGAAATACATATATAGGCGTGCGCTAAGATTTTTCAAAAACTCACCCACTAAAGGGGTATAACTACACCTTACCTTACCTTACCTTACCTTACCTTACCTTACCTTACCTTACCTTACCTTACCTTACCTTACCTTACCTTACCTTACCTTACCTTACCTTACCTTACCTTACCTTACCTTGTGTGAAACACGAATATTTGCTGTCGATACTTTTTTTTTAAAGTTGACAGAAGAAGCAATTGTTCGGATGAGGTAAATAGTGCTCTTTTACAAAAAAGATGGCGCGTAACCAAAAAACGTGACGCGTAAAGGAAAAATGTGACGGTAAATTTTTTTCCAACGCCGATAAAGAAGTTTCACTTCAGTAACTGGGAAATATATTTTTATCGTTATATAAGTTATTTACGGGATTGTTGCCGGCATGATACTGTTCGCTTTGTTTGGCCAATGTACCAACTGCCACAGCTGCAGTCGATCTTATAGACACCAGGTTTCTCCAAGGGGAAGTTGTAGCTGTAAGTGTTGTGTGTCGAGAACAGTTTCGAGTGAATAGTGAGAATGTGAACAGTGGTACGGGTATCGAACGCAATAAAAGACTTCGTCGGAGGGTACACCGATATGTCTGCCAATAAACAGCCTACCCGCAATTACTTCAGTTACTCCGTGATCATGGCGCTTGCAACAGTGCCGAAATATCGGAAACTCGCTAAAAACAAGGCACATGGTAACAATCCCGTAAATAACTTATATTACTATAACGTTAGTGACCATGAAAGATTAAAACAATATATATTTTTATCGAACCACATTTTGGGTTCTATTATGTAGAACCAAGAAGCGACACACATGGCTTCTTGTAAATGAACTCGGAAAAGACGTAGTTCGTTTCTTGTTCCACTTAATACATAAACTAATTTGGACGCCCTCCGTGGCCGAGTGGTTTGTACGCCGGGTTTCATGGTGTAGCCGACTCGAGAGGTCCCGGGTTCGAATCCCGGTGGGGGCAAATGTTTGTGTGATGAATACGAGCATTTGTACTCCAGTCATGGATGTTAAATATGTATTTTCTATATAAATATACTTATATATGTACAGCATCTGTAGTCTATCCGTTACCCTAGTATCCCTTAACACAAGCCTTCATTGCTTATTTTGGGGCTAGGCTAATTGGTGTGAGTGTTGGAAACATTTATTTAACGCTCTTATTTTTAACTGTCTCGATTTTGAATGGACACATATAACAAGAACGTTCGGTTATCTGATAAATAAATACATATTTTTTTCTAACACACACACACACACCAATTAGCATAGCCCCAAAGTAAGCACAATAAGGCTTGTGTTTTGTGATATTATAGGGTATAGGAATAAATATACTGATGCACATATAAGTATTTTTTTATTTAGAAATAGATATAAGGTCCATGACTAAGATACAAATACTTGTATTCATCACACAGACATGTGCCTCACCAGGATTCGAACCCGGGACACCTTGAAAGCCATACCACTGGAGATCATCAATCATCAATCATCATCATCATCAACCTATTAATGTCCGCACTGCTGGGGCACAGGCCTTTCCTATGGATGGAAAAGGGAGATTGGGCCATGACCCACCGCGCGGGCCCAGTGCGGATTGGTGGGTGCTAACGACTGCAGATGCAGCCGGGACCAACGGCTTAACGTGCCTTCCGAAGCACGGAGGAGCTCGAGATAGTAAATTTTTGGTCACCCATCCAATGTCCGACCACTGCGAAAGTTGCTTAACTTCAACGATCGCAGCCGAACGCGCTAACCACTTGCGCCATCGAGATCATCAATATAAAACAATAATATTAAATAAAATGTATTCACAAACAATGAATGCACCGTACCTTCAACAATTATCCTATCGGTCTCCAAGTGCAGGTGATCCTCCACGTCCTCTCTTTCGTCATCCTTGTCTTCTAAACAAGTTCTGGGGGTCGATTCCTGGTTTTGATTCGACTCTTCGTTATCCTTTGTCTCCTCACAGCATTTCACTTCAGCTGTACTTTCTTCCGTGTTCAACTTATAGTTAGGCTGTGTTTTAGTTAAGGAAATATGTAGCGCTTCAAAGACAGGTCAATCTTATGTTACAACTAAAATACTTAAGAGAGGTAGAACATAGCGGATTTTCTGCTCGAACTGGAGCGGCCGCCTCGGAAAGTTATCTCTTCACCACCATTCCACCTTCTATCTTCATTTCTTCTAATACAGATAACTTAAAAGAAGAAGACCCACACCATGTAAACTTTGATGTAGAAGAATAATAAAGATTTTTGAAGTTATACTTCTTTAGGTGCGTTATGAAAAAATGATGAGAGTGAAATTTTAAGATGCGCGCGCATCACTGTAACACAAAATTTTACTTACGTTACTTTTGTGTGTACCGCACATTAAGAAAATCTACCAACAAAATAGAAATAGAATCTCTATTTAGTGGGTGCTAACGACTGCATTGTGAAGGCCTATCAAAAGTATTTATTAATCTGGAACAACGGAACCAAAGCGCGATTCAGGAGACTACAGCGCCATCTCTTGACCATTGGTGTAGTAGAACCAAAAACCACATCTTTATTTTTTGTAATAAAGTAACAGTTATAGGTATTCATATTTATAATATTTATCCACATGTTTCTAGTTTGTATATTCGGAATACGTGTTTGAGTTTCATACAAGTGCAAATCACATATGTTCTAATAAATTATATTCAGTAGCGATTTTAATTGAATATTTTGATTATTTATTTATTTTTTCAAATTAAAACTGAACTTTATTGACTGTGTCCTTTTCCAGACTTTTTATTAATTTATTGTAATTAATTATTTGCATGCAATTAAAAACTAATTTTAAACGATGTCAAAGAAGGATAACTTCTCACGCGCCTACATAAGTACACGCACCCATTTTTGTATTTTTTTTGTATCTCGCCACTACCACTCCTTATTTTGTGACGCAGACAAAAACTCTGTTTACAGACGACGGCGCCTTTAAGAGGCACACCGCCGAACGGACCTCACACCTGGCTCCCGCAAACCTTACGAGCCCCCACAGTGGCTGCCCACTGAGGACCCCGTAACTCTTACGGGCGCTTTACGGCATAATATCCGCTTAAAAAACCCTGCGAATACCCTCTAAGCTGCTTAGTACGAAACCGCGGGATCCCCGTTTAGGGATTAGTGGAATTTTTTTCTAGTTATATTTTCTTTAGATTTAAAACACCAAGCAGTTACATGCTTTAAAAAATAATAAACATTATAACACAACCTTTAAGTGGTGTAGTGTTTTGTTGATGGGTTAGGTTCTAGGGCACTACCGAGTAGGTGATTAGGTCAGCATCTATAGCAGTGTTTCCTAACCTTTCCAATACTGCTACCCCTGTAACCTATTAGGGAAACAGATTTTACCCCGACTTTAAAATGTTATCATCAGTCCAAGAAATTCCAATTTGGCCGCTACATCTTAGTCTCTAATAATGTCATCATCAGGAGAAAATCTCGCCCCGCTTCCCACACTCAGCACCCCGCGGGCTCGCTAGCAAGAAGGAGCGCATGCTCTATTTAGTAGTATTATTTAGATTTGACCAAATAATTAGGTTCTTTGTTACCCCCGAAATATGGCTGATTTACCCCCGAAGGGGTAATTACCTAACATACCTAACATTTGTTTTTATGCCTAAACAGTATGACACGGCATTCCCAAACTTTTTTCATTTTAAATCTGTTCTTTATATTTTTTATTTTATAGTCTTAATTGTTTTATCATTTACATTTGTAATGGAAAGTGACTTCATGAGTTATCTCATATTGAAGTCATTTTTCAAATTGATATCTGTATATAATGCAGGGAGAAAAAAACAGCCCTTGCTGAGTTTCTTGCCGGTTCTACTCAGTACAAGGTCTCCCGCCGTAGATTTGCGAACCGATGGCGTAGCTTTTCGACATTCACAAGTGCTTGTAACAGCCTAGACTGAATAAATGACTTTTCATTTCATTTCATTTCATTTCATTTACCATCAGACGGGCCATATGCTTCTTTGCCAGCCTTTTAACATAAAAAAAGAAATTTGATTTCCTGTACTAGTTAAAATAAAATAATGTTACGTATACGAAACCGCCACGTTCAAGCAGAGAGTCGGCTCAGAAGAAGCCGTCGTTGCTATCACGCACACATTGACATTACGTTTGTTAAAGTCATTCTCACACAGATTCAAGCGGAATTTATTCGCGACTAGTTCAGATAATTATTTTCGAGAATGTGAGGTATTACCAAAAGGGTTTTCAATATCGTCAATAGTCTTTTTCTCAATTTAAATAAATTGAAAGAGTTTTTAATCTACTGCGCTAACAGCAAAGATCAAATTTCATCTAATTTTGATCTTAAGTGCAAAAGGGATGATGACGGGGTACAGTAAACGAAATTCTATTTAGTCCGTCAGTTAGATGATCAAAAAATAATGGACCGGTATTTTTTCTTTGCGCAAACAACCAAAAAATGACAAAGTTATAGCGCGTCAAAGTTTGGGAGCAGGTGCTTGGACGTCACTTTTAAGTGAAAATCGTACCAAAACGTGACGTCATGCGACTTTTCAAATCAATATATCTCTGCAATGTTTATATTATGTGAAAAAAGAAAAAATACGTGTCTAATACTTTTTAATAATCTAACTGATAAACGAAGAAAAAAAATAGTCATCATCCCTATTATGCATTCTCCACTTAGAATCTCCATAAAATAAATTTATCTATTTTGATCACGTTTTGAAAAATTCAGGCCAATTATGGGGCTAGTGGGTCAGTAATTAAATTGATCGATAGTACTACATTCTAAGTAAGTAAAGTAGATACAACACTTAAAATGTAAGCGATAATTATATGCAAAATATTGTTTATTAACTTACAATGTTAAGTTCAATGTTACCTCCTAATTGTATTCACATTGTAACTAAGTACTTGTACTCTTATATTTCATTCCAATTATTCGCTGATAATTGCTAATGATTTTTCGATCTGTACGAAAATTACCGCTATCAATGTGCCATAGTCTATTTTTACTATTGAATAATCAAAATCACGTGATTGGTTACATTGTATTCAACCCACATGGGAAGACGTTATATAATGCGCTTGCATTTTACAATATCGCACCTTTAGAATTGAAGTGACCTAATCCAAAATTCTTGTTTTTTGGTAAACGCTAAAAATGTGTTTCATTTTGGTTTTTCTATTATAATGCTATAAGTTATACGTTTATTATCATATTTTTTATTGTTAATGGTAGGATAGGAATTGTGTTCATGATTGTGTACTAATCCAGTCTGTGTAACTAATTAGAACCTTTGATAATTGATCACCAAAAAAAAATATGTCAATTAATTTCCGAAAACAATTTATTATAATTGGCTTATTTCACTTTGTGTCCATTTTTTACTAAACAACATAAAACAAAAACGTAACTATTTAATATAGAGGCGATTCATTTCTAATGTTATATATTTGATAGATGACCAATTTTGTAATATGCTAGTTTAATAATTAATGATTTTCTAAATTAAAGTAAAATGAAATAAATGTCCACGCAACATTGAATGGGGTACTTCAATGCTGAGGGAGGCGTGGTATACGTGTCATTTAAAAGAGACGGAAACAGTACGTTTGTCTTTTTCTCGTTTAAAAGAGCCTGTTTATCTCTTATCTATTAGACAAGTCCGTCCGTCCGTCCGTGGTGCTGTTTCAGCGGCCAAACCGTAAGAGATAGATAAAGAGAATGTTTAAGTTATAAGTTGAGAATAGTCTGATAAGACTACAAACCGGATGTGAGTAACGTAACACTTCCGGTTTTCGAGAAATCACGTGATTTCTATTTCAAACGAAACCACACAAAATCTCCGAAGTTCTCAATTAATGAAATACATTTTTTTTTTGGTGAACATTTGGTTCACTGGTTTGCTAGTTATTAATAAACTGATAGAATATCTGTTTTTATATTGTTTCACGTTTAACAGTCATTTTGCTATTTTTTTTATTTAAGTCACTTCAATTCTAAAGGTGCGAATCTTATACGATTTCAAGAACTTATACGATTTCCACTATGTAGTGGGCTCTGTTCTGTAGCGTTTGTAATTTTTGTGTTGATAGTCGATAGCTGACTTGTATATTACTTAATTCCCAGAAACGTTTTATAAAAAAACTAGTTGACCCAGCGAACTTCGTACCGCCCTAAAAAAATAGGGGTTGTCCAGCGGACAAAATTGTGAATCTAAACCATTCTCAGATCCCCTTGAACACATACAAAAAATTTCATCAAAATCGCTCCAGTCGTTTAAGAGAAGTTCAATGACATACACACTCACAGAAGAATTATATATATAAAGATATACAAGTTTTTTGTCCCTTTTATCACATAACAGGATATGCCATATTTCATTGCGTTAAAATATTGTCGGGGAAAAATTTATAGAGACTTTTTGAAACTTAATTTGTCAACTTTTTCACTGTTGGTTTCATTTTCTGCTTTTTATTTTTAGAAAGTATGAAGGACAAATATTTACCTTTGAGATAAAACGAATAACATAACCAAACACACAAATCTATTTTTTTTTGTGTCAACTCAACATGATGCTGATGTTGCCATCAGAACTGGTCTTCGGACACACTTTTATTTTTGGCTCTTAAACCAATGGAATAGATTATATTCTTCATCATCAGGCTTTTAACGTCCCCACTAGTGTTGAGTAGGACTTACAAGAGGCGGTACATTTGTCCCGGACATGACGTCAAAATGTAAGAGCGGCTCATAATTTTAAAATGTACTACTTCACATTAAATGTCGCGATAGTCGCGTCTCGTTACTCACTCACTCTTCGTAAGTCTGAGAGAGAGAGCGAGGCATGACATTTCATTTGAAGTGACGAGTACAAATATGACATTGAGGCGTACAGAGCTCGACATTACGTTTGTGTGCACGAGTTGCTACAGAGGAGGTGCTCCTCCTCTACGCACTATCCATCTGTATCTCTATCTCCTATTACGTGTATAACG